AAGCGGAACAAGCTGATGCAAGCTGTAACAAGCGAATGCAAGACTGAATTCTAGAAATGGTGAAGAAGAACAGCTAGCCGGTGAAATGGACAGAAATTCATAACGCATTGATGAATCCTTGCTGGGTGGTCTTATCGTTCGTACAAATACTATCGCTACAAAATCTACTCGTATTCAGCATGGACGGATCGAGCTTCCGATTCCATTGGAGAAAAGGTTTTAGAGTAAATCTGATTACAGATTCAGAATCAGCGAATTTTTTTGATCTAGAAAATTATTGGAGAAACCCAAAAAAACCAGTGGTTCTCTTCCCCCTTTTGCAGGTACCTCGCTACCCCATCACGTGGCGGTTGCCATGTCGCGGAGGGGGTTACTTGTTTTTGGAAGGGGAAGGTGTCGTTTTGGTTTCTTTAAAAAAGTAATCTCAGATTAAGAATCAGCGCATTTTTCTGTCATAGAAACATAGTCCCATTTTTGAAAAAAAATTTGACGCCCCCGAGGGGCGCCAAGTGCCCAAATTCGTTGACAGAGCTGTAAGCGGAGAAGCGGCTCTCGTACAGCGACAAAATCTTTCAAATGATTTCAACGTATTGCGCCGTGGTGCAGTGGTACTGCCTACGCGGATCTAACGACATTGCCGGGCTTCGATTCCCCCATCGGCGCCTTTTTCAGCCGTTTCTCGGTTTCCCTCGGATTGCGCCCTGCTTAGATGGTAGCAGATCACGGTTCGATCACGGACCTATGGTATGAGACTGGTGTGCTAACGTCGAACGGGAGGAACAGAGCAACAACGAATAAAAGGATAAAATGAATGGAGGATGCGGTGAGCCGGAGCCGCCGCTTGAAGGATCGCTTCATCACGCTACGAGGACGTAGCGAAAGCTGCAAAGGGGGTGTGAGCGGAGAAGCGGCTCACGTACAGCGATAAAGTCTTTCAAAGGATTTCAACGTATTGCGCCGTCTTGCAGTGGTACTGCGGCTAGGCGCCGGCTACTGCCTACGCGGATCTAACGACGTAGCCGGGGTTCGATTCCCCCATCGGCGCCTTTTTCAGTCGTTTCTCGGTTTCCCTCGGACTGCGCCCTGCTTAGAGAGCACATTCATAATTTTTTTTAGAACAGAATCGGAATCCGCGCACTCGATTTAGCCAAAAAACAATTCTGAAAGTGGGAGACTACGTATTTCTTTGTTGAGAATATCGCGACCGCCCAAGGTGGCGGTCATGCATGACCCTTGGGGGCGACAAATTTTTTTCGAAGATCGGAATACGTTTCTATAACAGAAAAATGCGCTGATTCCGGATCTGGGATGAGTTTTGTAAAGAAACCAAAACGACACCTTCCCCTTTCAAAAACAAGTCACCCCCTCCGCGACAGGGCAACCGCCACGTGAGGGGGTAGCGAGGTACCTGCAAAAGGGGGAAGAGAACCACTGGTTTTTTTTGGGTTTCTCCAATAATTTTCTAGATCAGAAAAATTCACTGATTCTGAATCTGTAATCAGATTTACTCTAAAATTTTTTTTCCAATGGAATCGGGAGCTCGATCCGTCCATGGTGTTCAGTATGCTGTTTGTATGTTGAAGAATTCGGTGCAGCATTTTTAACCGTTACGCCACTCTCCTTAATTTCACCCCGACGGCCCGACCCACCCACCCTCGGTACCTCTTACCTTTACACCACACCGGGAAGGAATCAGTTTTGTCCATACAAATCCTTGTTACGGCAAAACGAGCAGTGGAGTCTGGTCTAAACAAAATCAATGTAAATAAGTGTACGAGTTTCGATTAATTCGATTGCTTTGTTCGGCACAACTTAGTCAGCTGTCACTTTATCAGCTGTAGCGGAAAAGGTTTTGCTACAGTACGTAATCGTGGATGCGCAATAAACCCAGATGCTAACTGTACAGCTCAATGGAACTTTCTTTCTGCACAGAACAACTAGTGTGTTACATTTGTACGACTCTGAGCTAACCAGCAAGAAAGAGTTTTTCAATGTCTACATTTTAATCGAGAAATCAGAAATGGTGTGTTTTATGGTGGTTGCCAGTAAAACTAACATCCTTTTTCATTCAAGTACAGCGAATTTCTGACCCGTCGGAGCAACGTCTAAAAAACGAACAGCTCGACTAAAAATGGGCATACAACGACATAACGGACCACAGAAAAAGTCCCAAGAAAAAGTGTACAAACAAATCAGCAAAAGGCAGTCCATTGCGTAAAAATGGATCGTGCATCAGCATGTCAGCGAGAAACTGAGGATCGACAGGTGGAAACTCGACTGGCCTTGGCCTGGACAGATAGCGCCATTGAGCGGTCTCCCACGGGTGTCCTTACTGATCAACCACCGCTTGAAGTGTATTCCAGTCCTTCTCGTGGTCGGCGCCGATGTGCCACAGCATGTAGTCGCGCTCGGAATGACTGACCAGACAGCCCTGCCGTGAATATCACGCGGGTCCGATGAGCGCCAGCAGGTGATTTAATTCCGTGCATGAATACGCTCTTGCTTACCGGGACGGGGCAGGTGAAGTGGAAGAGGTAGCTGTCCTCCGATTCCTCGCTGTCCACGCTGGTGTTCACCGCCTCCCCGATGCACTGCCCCGTCACCTGGGCTTCCAGCTTGGCGCGTCCCTAACAAACAGACGACTCAGTCATACCGCACCAAAATTGCCAGTTGCCACAACTACCAACCTGCAGGGCGGTCTCCGTATACTCCGCGCCGAACAGCTGCGGATGCACGGCCTTGATGTGGCTGTCCATCATGTCGTACAGCGAAAACACCTGGACAGGGCACTCCTGCCGACAAACAAAGCAAAACAGACAGCCTCAACCAGCCGCTGAGGCTCGAGCGCAACCTGCCACGTACCGCGTCGGCGCAGGCGTGATACACTTGGGTGGGCAGCGGCACGCAACGCTGCCGATGCTGCATTATCAGATGCGCGTGCATCCAGTGCGACGACTCTAGCAGCCGGCCTGCGTCAGTTGCTGCACACGCGTCGATCTTGCACACATACTTCACCCGACCATTCTGCACAACAATGGCTCATTTTCATGCACTTGGTGACGAACTGCAATGCTCTAACCTGATCAACGCGGGTGGGGATGACGATCCTGTCGGCGATGATCTGGCTGGGCCACAGGATGCGCAAATTACTCGTGCCCTCCGGGAACGTCTCGCTCCTGGCCGTGCGCAGCAACTCCCGGTACTTCTGCACACACAGCCAGATTTACGCTGTAAATGCTGATCTACCAGACACTGTGAATCTGTCATGTAGCTCACCTCGCCGCACTTCTTGCTGCGCTGCTTGTACAGCGCCTCCATGACGCGCTCCTTGTAGTGCGGATGGCGCTCGCGGATGTGGTTAGGCAACAAGTCACCGAAGGGGTCGAACCGCACGAACGGACAGTCGGCGCCGTCGTTGACCTCGGCCGGACACGGACAGACGAAGTTCAGCTGGACGTTGTGCATTCCGTGGACGCCCTCCAAGTGCGCCTTCAGCCCCTGCGGCATGCCCGCGCGGAATTTAACACAGGCCTCCGTGGCGCCCTCTTTCAGCCCGAACGGACAGCGCAGGGGATCGAACAACGACTAGGGTAAAGCGGAAAGCGTTGGGGAATAAGGGATCTTGCAAACGAGTGTACGGCAATCAACACACCCGAATGGTCCCCCTCATCAACACATGCGTGGCGCGCTGGGACACCCGCACAAGCATCTCGTTGGAAACGCCCCTGCCATGCACAACCTCCCGGTCCGGACGCCCCACCGCCTCACAAAACTCCTGCATATTAGATTATACCATTAATATAATAATATTATCATTGCTACGCAAGCAGACAACCCCAGAGCGAGTCAGATCAAAAAGTAGTAACGTAAACTGCTAACTGTAGTATACAGGAGACACGTAGTATTCGTAAAAGGTTAAGGCCTGGAGTCCTGGAGGCTGGCAGTTTCTTGCGATGTGACGATCTAAAGCGGATTCTTCATTCTCAACTGAGTGAACTGACCACTCTGCTGCATGCCAGCCAGGCACTTCCTGACGCAAGATGCCTCATATTTACCCCGAAAGCTGGATACAGCAATGCAGCAATACTCAGCAGCAGCGCTATAATATCGCACTCAACTGTAATTTCACCGAAAGATTTTCCACAGTACTGAGATATTGGGAAATAAGTACCACATATTTCAACAGTGCTCTTCTGCAGCACAACGTTCGCTCGGTAGGGGAACTTATCGCAGCTCACTCACCAGTTCTCCCTTTTCGTTGGCGCTTGCTGGTTCCTGGTGCTTCTCTACAGACTGTACTGGGTCCCTCTCTGGAGTCTTTTCAGGCGACATGCTACCGTCACTGCCCGAGCAGTGCTGGCTCTCCGAAGACCGTCGCGGTTGGTAGGGCGCCGGCCAAGGCATCTCGCAGGACCAACGAAGAAAATAGCGCCAGTAAAGTTAAAAAAGTACAATAACAACAGCTGCAACACCTCTCCAAAACAGAGAAAGCTCCGGTGAATGTATATCGTACTCACAGTCCAATCTCACACACGGTTGACTGCCGCCTGAGGATGCAGTAACACCAACAGCTGGCTTTTTATGGAGCAAATAAGCAGGGCGCTATCCACTGGAGCTACTAAACAACTGCTAGGCGCTAGCATAACGGCAGATAATAAATTTTAAAAGATTAAAAAAATAAAACAGCAAGCACAAGTTGCGTTGTATTTCGCCTTATTTTCGCGTATGCACTTTTTGTTATGTTGGTGGGCCATGGTTGCTTTTGCCCAATAAAGAAAAGTTGACACTTGACACTTGCTTGACAGTTGACAAGAGAAAAAAGTAAGCCTGCGCTGTGACTGCAAGCCGTAGGCGGCTGGCCGGGAGCCCTACCACGCGGGCACGGTGTAGCCAGGGCGCACCTACTTGACTGAGTCAAGTTGACTCACTCATCTCATCTGCACGGATTGCCACAGAACGATCAAGCAACGAGAAGCAAGCTGCGAGTGCGAACGCGAAAATCTCACAGTCACAGACTCCATTATATTATCGCAACGTTGTAATGAGTCTGACATTCACTGAAGTTTTCTGTTTTGTTGTTGTAACTTTTCGTAATTTACGTTGTGTACTTTTCTTCGTTGGCCCTGCGAGATGCCTTGGCCTGTACCCAATCGACCCCGACGGTCTTCGGAGAGCGACTATTGCTCGGCTAGTGACGGTAGCATGCCACCTGAAAAGATTCCAGAGAGGGACCCAGCACAGTCTGTACAGGAGCGGCCGGAGCCAGCGAGCGCCAACGACAATGGGGAATTGGTGGGTAAACTGCGGGAGGCTCCTGTTGTGTCGAGAGTGGTACACGAAACGGGCAAATATCGTGTTCCCTCTTATAAACTGTAAGCCCTGTCATCTGTTTTGATTATCTCCAGGCGTTTTGTGCGGCTGTGGGGCGGCCGGACACGGAGACCGTGCCTGGCGTCTTCGTGCTCAACGAGCTGATGACACGTGTGTCCGACAGCGACACGCACGTGTTGATCAGGGGCACCATCGAAGTGAGTCGTTACTAATTTTACCCGCTGACTGGCCCGATTTGTATGCTCCTGAACACCTTACGTCTGCAGTCCATGGTCGATCCGCTTCGCTGTCCGTTGGGGTTTGAAGAAGGCGCCTTGGAAGCCTGCGTGACTTTCTACGCCGGCATGCCTGTGGGGCTGAAAGCGCATTTGGAGACGGTCCACGGAATGCACAACGTGAACCTGGCCTGTCCCTGTCCAGCTAAATTCAACGGCGGTGTCCACTGTGATTACGTGCAGTTCGACCCGGTCGGCTACTTTTTGCCTAGCCACATCCGAGAACGCCATCCGCAGTACAAGGAGCGTATGATAGACGCGCTGTGCAAACAGGAGAATAAGAAAACCGGCGAAGTAAGAGAGGAGAATGAAAAGAACAGTCCAGTCAGCTGGCTCAACATGGTGTCTTGTTGCGGCCGCTTTCTTCTTATTTATAAATCAGCGCCTGGTGTATTGTTGCAGAAGCACCGGGAGTTCATCCGCACGGCCAGGACCAAGACCTTCCCGGAGTGGACCGGCGATTCCGCTCGCTTGTGGCCGAGTCAGATTATGGCCGACAGGATCGTCATCCCCACCCGGGTGCTGGTCAGTGCAACCTTCGAGCATTGAACATGTGCGTGCATTTATATTCTGTGAAAAATATTTTTTTGCAGGACGGGCAAGTGAAGTACGTCTGCAAGATCGACGTGTGCGCCACCAGTGACGAAGGCCCGGGCCGGCTGCTGGACTCGTCCGGCCGACTGCACGCGCACTTGATGATGCAGCACGGGCGGCGTTGCGCGAACCCCACCCAAATCTATCACGCCTGCGCCGACCCGGTACGTGCTTTTCCTTGTGTTGATGTGATTTTGTTGCAAGCGGGGGAGTCGGTTGTGTTGTGCAGGAGTGCCGGGAGCAGCTGTTCGATGCTGACCACATGATGGAGACGCACATCCGGGCCGTGCATCCGCAGCTGTTCAACGCCGGCCAGCCCGTGCTGTACTCGGAGGCCGCCCAGAAGGTTTCTGCTCATGAGTTTTCTTAGGTCATTCTTATGGTTTCTTAGGTTTTCTTAATTAAGCCTTTCTGTGTAAGAAAACTGGTGCTATCTGTCGAGTGTGGGTTCGTTAATAGTCTGTTGGTTAGGCTCGAGCCCGACTGGAAGCGCTCGTGATGGAGGAGAGCATCGGGGAGGCGCTGAGCAGCAGCGTCGATTCGGAAGAGACAGCGGATACTTTTCTCTGCAACTACGACTGTCCCGTCCAGGTACCGGCGTTGACTGTTGTGATCTGTTCCTTTTACCATTAGCGGAATTAATCTCTACTAGCCTGCTTGGTTTTTCTGTAGGGCTGCGAGGTGAATTATGACGAGCGCGATTATATGCTGTGGCACATCGCCGTCGATCACGAGGACGAGTGGAATGCCGTCGCTCGGCATGACAACGATCAGGCGGTCGTGTAGCTGCGGCGCCTGTCGCACTACGGGAATCGGTGTCGTATAGGGTGGTGGTGTTACCGGTTACGATGGCTCATTAGTTGTACTAAGTCTCTCGCAGCGGGCGGCACAGATTGTCTGTTGTGTCCCCATGTTGTTTCTCACTTTCTCGCTCACATACCGGCACTCTTCTCCTAGCAGCTGCTTGTTCCTTTCACCGGATATTTTGCACATTGTTATTGTTAGAAGTTTGCTTTTTTGTCAGTATATTCGCCGCGCTTTCGTTATTCCATATTGTCAGACTGTTTGCCTTTTGCGGCAACGAAGTAAATACTAATAGCGTGCGAAAATCAGCAATACATAGCAAGATTTACATAGCCGCTCAAAGCCCAGGGCATGTGAACGATTTCCTGGAGCTGGAAGCAGCCTGATTTCCTTTGGAATTCACTTTCCTGTCTAAGATAAATATTCTCTCACCATCAACGTCTTAGCTTAGCTGAAAAATCAGATGATTACAGTAAGTACTCTTAGCTGAAAAATCAGTTATCAGATGATGGCGATGGCCGCGATGCAAAGACTTCCGGCGCTGGAGGCAATTGCAACCCCCCGGTATGGCGGTGTCATGCTCATATCCAAAAAGTGTTTGAAAATTGGAATTCTTAGAAGGGCGGACGCCTGCGACAGGAGAACACTGCTGATTTTATAAATGAAATTTACATACGAAATTCTGAATTTACCGAAGATACTGAAGAAATAAAAATCTGCCGATGACGGGACTCGAACCCGTGCCAGCTGCGTCTGTAGCCGTCCGTCTTACCACTGATCCACACCGGCTGCATTATTCAATCTTCTTAAGATTTTAGCGCACTGTGCGACTGCCTATCAAAATGGAAATTCCCATTCATTTCTTTTTGATTGTCGTCAAGAAAAATCACTTTTTCATCATTTGCTAGGAGTAAATTCGGTTAAAGAAACCATTCCAAATTGTAAATACGTCGTTTAAAAGCAGACTGATGCACAACCAGCCGAACACACATCACGACAGCTAGAAAAAATTAATGCGATCCAATATAAAAAGATTAAATTACTGTATTATAATGCCAGAGCGCGCAATGCCAGCCGCCTATGGCTGCAGTCGTCCTACTTGACTCATAGCCACGGCCCACAGATCACCGACTGCACCCTCAACGCTCAAGTAACGAGGAGCAAGTTGCGAACGCGAAACGGTCTTGACGCTGTATTAACATTCGCTGAAGTTCCTTTGCTTTTTTCACTTTTTTGTTGTAATTTCTTCTCACTTTACGCGTGTGGCTTTCTTTTGTTAGCCTTTCGAGATGCCGTGGCCTGCGTCAGAGAGACTCCGACAGACTTCGGACAGCGACTATCACTCCGCGAGTGACGGTAGCTTATCGCCTGAACACACTGAGGAGATAAGCCCAGATGCCTCAGCACAGCCTGCACAGAAACCCCAGGAGCCAGCAAACGCCAACGAAGACGGAGAACTGGTGAGTGGGTTACCCGGGTGCGAGAGTTTCCTCATCCTGTCATTCGCCAGTGTGAACTATATGTACAGAATTTCAGGTTGTGCTCGAGAGTCGAGAGAAACTTTTACGTAAATAAATATAACATTGTACTCTGTAGGACTAACAAATTTTTTCGATGACAAATAATATTGTTTAATATTCTTACAATTTCGCTACATCTGCATAGACAACCTCTAAAATTCTGACAAAATTCTAAACTGCTGAAATTAAATTTCCTAGTACTTATTCCGCAGCATTTTGCCTTGAGCAGCATGAGCGGTGAGTGCTCGTTCAGTGAAACTCCATTGATTCGGATTTTTTGGTTTTTTTTATTTCACAAACCGCGGTAACAACACAGTTTAAGTTTAGTGTATCAGAAATCAGAGTGACATAATAATTCGGAATTTGCGCTTCGAACTTTCAGTAATACGAACCAGACTACCAGTTATCTTGCTTGCTATTATCCAGGAATTCTTCTTATTATCCAGTAATCCAGTTACTTCTCTTTTGCAGTTTTGCTTGCTAATTTCTAACTAGTCTGGAATATTTTGCCTGCCGTTTAACCCAGATAATTTTTAGTTTTGAAGTTTAATGTGTCCACAACAGTGCCACACATGAAACCGATGAAAATTTAAGATGATGAAGAGGACAGTTAGAGAACAGGGCGCAACGTTGAATTCCTTTGCGATTGCTCATTGCTGATTGCACTGCAATCAGCAATGAGCAATCGCAAAGGAATCATTGCAATCATTGCAGTACAGATACAGCGTTAAGGTCTAAGTGCTAACCAGCACAGCACCGTAGCGTGGTGCGGTTGCAGTAAGATCAGGCATCTTAGGGCCGGAAGTGGCTGGCTGGCATGTGAAATATAGGGCGGTCAATTGCTAACGACGAGTCCGCGTTTAGACCGTCACAGCGCACGAAATTTTTAGGCCTTTACATTTGTAAAAAACTAAGTGTCCTGTATAAGCTTCAGTTACCAGTTGCATTTTATGTCACTCCTTTTTTTGACCACACTTGTGGTCCTTCTGGGCTGTATGCTCTTGGGCCGTAATAATAATGGTGGAGGTCAATTACATTTGGGTAACCGTTGCGCGTAGGGTAACGGTGGAACGCGTAAAAAATTACGGATGAGTCAGCAAAAAATGAAATGACAAATAAGAAGACGAGTAAGTTTGCGTGCCAGGGTGGAAATTGACCATCCAAGTGTAAAAAAGTTATCGTTTAATACAGCTCCTCTGTGATTCAGACTGGATCTTTTCTCGATATGAAAACAGTAATCTAATTGAAACTTAATAATATTATGGATTACGAGTGTGCAACATAATATTATCTTTTGTTATTATTCTGGTATGGCACCGACGAAAAAAACGGTGAGACAAAAAAATTATCAGTCTGATCTTGAGTTGGCATCAGGCCTCTTAGCCACCTTTGGTTTTATGGGTCCTCGCTTCTTCTTCGCGGGGACGTCCTCTTAGGAGATGTCATAATGGCACAGTACGTGATCAAAAAATAATAATTACGACTTACAGCACTTGTGTTCAGCAATGCGATCTCGATATGATGATGACAAAAATACACCAAATAAAAATCGTAAACAATAATAGCACAACAGCTTCTAAAGAGAAATAATTTTGTACGTCAAGCCAACAATTAAAATTCTTCAGAACTTCGAAAATTTTGCTGATCGGTGCGCGTAAGTAGTTTGGGTAATGGTTGCGCTTCGACGTCGAAGCGCAACGCTTACGCGGACAAGTAAGCCAAAAACCCATCCCAGATTTCGCGATTACCAATCAGAATGTTTACTTGATTACGCGCTGTTACGTCACACTTTTTACGCGTTTTTCCGTTACCCGACGCGCAACGGTTACCCAAATGTAATTGACCTCCACCAATAATAATAATAATAATAACAATAATATTAATAATAGTATCTTGTGCAGGAGTTTTGTGAGGCGGTGGGGCGACCGGACCGGGAGGTTGTCCCTGGCAAGGTGGTTTCCAACGAGATGCTTGTACGGGTCTCCAAGCGCGCCACGCATGTGTTGATGCGGGGGACAATTGGGGTGAGTTGACTGCCTCGCATTCGTTTATATTTCCCCTTATCCTTGACGTCCTCCGCCCTGTTCTAGTCACTGGTCGACCCCCTGCGCTGTCCGTTCGGACTTGAAGAGGGCGCTGTGGAGGCCTGTGTCACCTTCCGCGCGGGCATGCCGCAAGGGCTGAAGGCGCACTTGGAGCGCGTCCATGGAATGCACAAGGTGCAGCTGAATTTCGCCTGTCCGTGTCCGGCCGAGTTCAACGACGGCGCCGACTGTCCGTTCGTGCAGTTCGACCCCTTCGGAGACATTTTGCCTGACCACATCCGCGAGCACCACCCCGTATACAAGGAGCGCGTCATGGAGGCGCTGTATAAACAACGCAGCAAGAAGTTTGGGGAGGTTAGTAATCTCCACCATCTCAGTGTCTGGTTGATCAGCATCAATGGCACGATTGCAGAAGTACCGCGAGTTCCTGCGCACGGGCAAGAGCCAGACTTTTCCGGAGGGGACGAGTAATCTGGGCAGCCTGTGGCCCAGCCAGATCATCGCCGACAGGATCATCATCCCCACCCGTGTTGATAAGGTCTGTGCGGGTTATTTCATTTCGTCACACAGTGCGTAAATTTGGGAAATGTTATACAGAATGGGCAAGTGCAGTACGTCTGCAAGATCGACGCGTGTGCCGCCAAGAAGGACGGCCATCAAATCCCTTCCTCCTACCACATGTTTGCGCATTTGATGATGCAGCACCGCGGGCGGTGCGCCGCGCTTGCCACCCAAGTGTACCACGCCTGCGCCGACCCGGTACGTGCCTCATCATGCATATTATTGTCCTGTTGGAGATCGGGAACACTCCAAAATGGTGAGTCTGTTACTGTGTGTGCAGGAGTGCCTTGTGCAGCTGTTCGAGCCCTACCACCTGATGGACAGCCACATCAAGGCCGCGCATCCGCACCTGTTAGGCCTGGCGTACAAGGAGACCGCCCTGCAGGTTGGTCATTTTGGCTATACGTATACGCGTACACGGTTGTCCGGTAATTTCTGTCGGCAAGGTACCGCGACCGTGGAGTTGGCCACGTCACTGCATTTATCGGGTTGCTTAACTGCGTTCTGCCGTTAAATTGTCGCTTACTACACCGACACCGACCGTTTTCAGCCCGCCTTCCGCCAGACAGTTATGTGAGCGGAGAAGCGGCTCACGTAAAGCGACAAAATCTTTCAAAGGATTTCAACGTATTGCGCCGTGGTGCAGTGGTACTGCCTACGCGGATCTAACGACGTAGCCGGGGTTCGATTCCCCCATCGGCGCCTTTTTCAGCCGTTTCTCGGTTTCCCTCGGATTGCGCCCTGCTTAGATGGTAGCAGATCGTGGTTCGGTACGTCCACTTCGCCTATGAGACTAGTGTGCTAACCTCGAACGGGAGGAACAGAGCAAAAACGAATAAAAGGATAAAATGAATGGAGGATGCGGTGAGCCGGAGCCGCCGCTTAAAAGGATCGCTTAGTCTCGCTACGAGGACGTAGCGAAAGCTGCAAAGGGGGTGTGAGCGGAGAAGCGGCTCACGTAAAGCGACAAAATCTTTCAAAGGATTTCAACGTATTGCGCCGTGGTGCAGTGGTACTGCCTACGCGGATCTAACGACGTAGCCGGGGTTCGATTCCCCCATCGGCGCCTTTTTCAGCCGTTTCTCGGTTTCCCTCGGATTGCGCCCTGCTTAGAGTTACTATTATTCTCATTAAAACTAGCGATGGTGGCGAACCACATTATTGCACGAGCGCGAGCGCCAATGCCACTGGGAAATGGTATTGGGATTGTGGAATTGGAAAAGCGTGACGTACGCTCTTCGTGGCGTCAGGCAAATTTTATGCTCTGGACGAAGACTTACTGCAGCAGCTCGCGCTTCGCGCTCGGTGCAAATTAATTAATTATCTGGCGTACAGCAAGCCACCAGCCAGCCCAATGCATGTACTCTGTGTTTAAGCAGGGTGACGTGGCGCGACGTAGTACGGATTTACGCGTAACACATCAATTTTTGTATTTCGCTGTATTGATGCGTCAGAAATTAGCGGACAAGTTTGTACAATTTTGACTTGTTAGGACTGAGCCGTTTGTTTGGTAGGAACGCGCCAAGCTGGAAGCTCTCGTGAGGGGGCAGTGCATCGGGGAGGCGTTGAACACTAGCGTGGACAGCGAGGAATCGGAGGACAGCTACCTCTTCCACTTCACCTGCCCCGTCCAGGTAAGCGCAGCTTCATGCACGCAGTTCAAGCAATTGCTGGCGCTCGTCTGACTCACGTCATTGTCACTGGCAGGGCTGTCGGGTCTGTCATTCCGAACGCGACTACATGCTGTGGCACATCGGCGCTGACCACGAGAAAGACTGGAATGTTCAGCCGGTGAATGATCAGTAACGACACCCGGGTCCGTGCCACCGCCGACCGCGCCTCCCCCTTCTGTCGATTCTCAATTTCTCGCTCACAGCCTGATGGTGGATCCATTTTACGGAATGGACTGCCTTTTCCCTTTGGCTGTTTTTTTTTTGATATTTTTTCTTATCACTTTTTCTGTAGCGCGTTAGGGCGTTGTATGTCCATTTTTGTCGAACTGTGTTGTTCTTTGAGAGTGGTAAAAAAATTGCTATGGAGTACTTGGAACAAAACTGATATTGCTGTAGTTTAACAGGCAACAGCCATAAAATAATCACACTTCTCTGTCAAAATAATTTGGACATTAAAAAGAAGCCTGTTTCAATATGGTACCGACGTTATACGATTTGTTCTGTGCCGAAAGATAATGATTCTAAATGTTCCATTTATTTTCATTCTAATAATTGCAGTATTAAGGAAATAACGAGCTTCTGGATTTGTTGTGAAACCACTGTTACAGCCTTTACAGGTAAGTACACCAGGGCAGCAAATCTTACAACTGATAAAGTGCCAATCCTGAGTAAAATGTGCAGAACAAAATAGAATTCATACAGTTGTTTCTAATAATTTTGTTTTCGACCGGACTTTAAAAGTATACGAGAAAAGCGTATCTTCAATAAATGATAGACCGACGTACTGTCAGTCTGCCAGCACATGTCTACTGGTAGCTGGCCGTGCTCGTGCAACACGGCAGCTACCCAAAATCAACACTCGGCAGCCATGTTTAAACGCAGTAAAATTGTAACCAATTTTCGCAGCAAACGTAACACACGAGAAAAACCAAATTTATTCAACGTGACTTGAATCTGCATTGAATTAACATCCGACTGATTCCGGTCACTCTGCTACCCTGCAGTCAGCAGTCGGCAGCCAGCTTGAGAGCCTTGAGCTCCGCCTGGAACTCGACCACCTCCGCGTCCGCCTCGCCGCTGGATAGACCGCGCTTCCGCCCCTTTCGCGCTCCCGAGGGCGTCCGCGACAGCTCGACGCTGTCCTTGGGCTTGCGGAACTCGTACAGCTTGGCGTAGATGCTGGCCAGGGTCTTGCGCGCACTCAACGCGTTCGGCGCTGTATTAGACATGAACAGACGCTTATTTAGCGTCGATGCTGCGACAGACTGTCAGGCAATTTACCAGTGATGGTGGTGTTGCCCGTCTGAAAGACCTGCATCTGGCCGCCCACTTCCGGCAGCTTCCACGAGGCCACCGGGTGCAGTTCCGGCTCACACCTGCATTAAGAAAGCGGCGCGTTTAATTAAAAACTCAATTAACTTGGGCCACAAATTAATACGTAAATAAAATTACTTCCGGTGTTGTATAAGAAATAAAATAAAATTATGAAACAAAAATACTGCGGCCGTGGACTCACTGGACTTCGTGCGGTAGGCGTCTTTGAGGAGGTCGATGCGGACGCCGAAGGGTAAAATACGCCACCGTCAGGCAGTTGATGACCTTGAAGAACTTGGCGCCGAAGCCGCACTTTTGCATCTTCGCGCACCACGCGCCGTGCTCCCGAATCAGAAATGCTCGTCTACTTCGCTACGAAAACCATAACATGATAACCGTGCTCCGTCAATAATAATCACTCCCAAAAATTTGTACACACAAGAAATTTGTAAGATAGGAAATTGTTTAAATATCAGGAATAAATATACGTATTAAAATTCAGAATGATAAGACTAAGTAACGAGTGCATTGTGCACAGTCCCTTATCATATTAATTGGGACAAATTCTTTATCTGATTGTATAATTATATAAGTAATGACGGTGAGTGGCGCTCGTCGATGTGCATATTATTGAAAAATAAATTTCACAAACAGCAACGAGTGTGTCGCAAGAGCGATGACCGCGATGTGGCTGCTGGTTAACTTTCTGGCGATATTAGATATGTTAATTTTTACATAATATATTGATTAAATATATTATATTCAAATGCATTAATTAAATATATTAATTTTTATATATTTAGATTAAATATTTTCAGCAAATCTGTATTCACTTGGTACTATACTGACGAAACTATGCACAGTACTATAATATCGAAATCAGAAATAAAGTAATCAGTGCCAAGATGTTTTGTTCCCTCGCTCTTCTGTACCGCCCTACCGATGTTCTTAGAATATCATTAAAACAATAACAAAAAAATACACCGAGATTAATTGCAGAAGAGCTTAGGTTCACCGTCTACCTGCAAAGGACGACGACGGGCATTCCCTTTGGCTTGTAGCGTGGCGACCCCCCGACCCCCTCTGCGTTCCTTCTCCGTTTTCACGTCATCGTCTGCGACTCTGCACTTCACGCGATGTCCTCACATCGGGCGGCATTGTCCTCGAACGTGATGAGTCCAAGGGCCTGGAACGTGAGCTATCACCGGAGAATGCAGTAAGGCCTCGGCCGAGTTTTGAACCGTACGTCGCTAGGGTATAGCAGCTCCACTGCACGAGGTGGCTTCGCAAACGGCTTTTGAAGGGGGAACCACCGCAAGCAGCTGCCTCGTGCGGTGGTGCTGTGATAACGTAGCGAGATACGGCTCGAATTTCAGCCGAGCCGTATTTGTAAGTGCAGTCCGCGGATCAGCTGAAAACCTTTTTCCTCTTAAACCATCAGATTTAGACGGATGACTGTCCCCACGCTTATGACGCAATTAGAAACGGAGGGTAAACAGTGAAACGGATCGAAATCGAAAATCATCGGATCCACAACTCGACGGCACTCTACCAAATCAGAATGATCATTTTGAAAACACATTCAAAAATGGTGGGCTAACTCCAGCAACCGCAATGAAGATGACGCATAAGTGGCCCAGAAAAAATGTTGTGACAACATTATAGGAAATGAGAAATCGGAATGCATTAAAGTTGAAACAACTTATTAAAAGTTGCTTAATCCTCTTTCCTTCATTTACAACTATCTGCTCAGTATTCGGCTCATGAATCATGAGTGTGCGATGAGTATTCAGATCCCGGTGTAAGCAGTTATACTTCGAATAACACTTCGAATCACGGTGAGTCTTGATCAGTGCTGCCATACTACCCCGTACCGGAAAAGGGATGGAAAAGGGAGGAGCTGCGCAGTAAACGAACGCGAATAACGAATGAACGATGGTAATTAGGGCGCACTGGAAGCACAGTAATGACGAGCGCTACCCATGGGTGGGCGCAGAAACATAGGTGTGAATAGTGACAAAACCGCACTTAGCGGCGATTACTCATACCACTGGCCTTTGTGATGATTCTGCAGTTGCAAATTGTCAGTTTCAGTCGTTGCAACGAACGAAAACTCGAAGACAATTTTTTTGGAAGAATTCGCTACAGTATTAGTTGCTCTTGGCAAAGTCTTCTTGAATCTCGCCCTACCCACAGACGTACAGAAATGGTAAGATAAACGTGCAGTAGATGGACCAAATCCTCTTGTATACCGTTTGACAGAAACTCCTTGCAGGCTGATTGTGAGCTGAGTGCCCCGGAAAGCTCATCGCCGTTTTTGAAGAACATGAAGACAGAGTCCCGCGAACTCTATACGAACAGTTATTTTCTGAACTATTTTGGAAAGTTCGCCCAGAAGGACTATGGACCCGGGTCGCGTGCAATTATTTCCACGTCTGCCCAGCACCATCTTGGACCCGATGACTACAGTAAGCGAAAATCATTGGAAACCGCGACAATTACATCACCTTCACTTTCGCACAGAACTGCATGTCGTTTGTAACCGTAGAAACTAGGGACGTGTGCATCGTGGTGTCTCCTCACGGAGCCGAGCAGCAAGCGGAATCCATCCCGACATGGATACACGAGTCGAAAGCCGGAAAAGTCCTAGTGAAAGACAGTTTGTCACCCACGGGATGCACACCTCAAGACATGTTGCAGTACGAATGCAGACGTCGAGCCGCCGGGGAGCAGCTGCTCGATCGCTTTCGGAACAAGGACATGCGGAACCAGATGATTAGCTACGGGTGGACGGAACTTTGGGGTTCCTCCTCCGTCGGCCCGCACTGCACCATCTGGCAGATGGATATCGCCAAAAGGATCGTGTACCGCATCGTTTCGTGTGACGGTGCAGAGCTGACGAAACGACAGCTGGCAAAGCTGGAGGATCCTAAGCCGGTTCAGTACCGCGCTGGATACTGGAATCTGGAGGTGGGCAAGCAAATGATGGGGAAAATTGCTGGGTTAGGTCGGTCAATGATAATGGCGAATATGGACAAAGTGGATCTGTTGCCGGATTATTTCATTGCGGGCCTTAATGTTAAGCCACAAAAGATAGCTCCTGCAGCTGCCGAGATACTGGAAGTGGATGGGGAATGGCCGGGCCCTGCTGATGACACGATCAACGATCCCGATGTGCCACCACCACCATCTACAGGCTCGGGGCAGTTGCAGGTTGTTCTGAGGTCCCGTCGTCGTTAGAGCACAACTGCTGGAATCGGACGTGTAACCGCCGTTTTACTCCACGTCAAGGGTCGCTATCGGTTAGCGCGGGTCGCTATCGGTTAGCGCAAGTGTTTTTTTGTAATTTCGTTAGTATTTCGGCAAAAACCAGACGCGCCTCGATTTTGTACTTTGTCCTTTGCGGTTCGTCCTTTTGTGTTTGTTTGTCCGTGTATTCCTCGCACCTTCTTTCGGTGCACTGTTTTATCGGATACCACTTGGCTTTACTCGTTCCAATTAAAACACAACAGCGACATGAAACATCGTGCATAAAAATTTGTACACCGATAAAAAAAGCTGAAGATATTAGTATCGATTTAAACACCACAAAAAAAGACTATGCTGCAGTAAACTACGTGAGCGGAAAGGCCGGGTCACCAAGGCAGCGGCGCGGAATGGGCGGCGGGGTACTGCGGCGCGGTCACTTGTGGATGGCGGCGGAGACGTCGTCGTAGAGCTCCTCCGGGAGGTAGTCCTTCAGCGCGCCCCGCAGCGTCGTGTCGGCGTACTCGCCGGTCAGCCCCGCCTCCAGCGGGTTCCCGTAGCCGCCGTGCACCCGCGCCGTCTCCAGGTACTCGTAGTGGTTCTCCGGCACGCCCGCGCCGCCCGGCTTCTTGGGCTGCGCGTAGATGACCTCGGTGGCGGTGCGGCCGCCGTCCACCACCACCGTCTTACGGCACTCGATGGGCGAGCTGATCACCAGCTTGGGCACGCGCGGCCGCTCGCGGTTGGGCGCCTCCTCCAGGCTGAAAGCCCGCAGCGTCCCCGTGTACAGCTTCTTGAGACTGGCCTTGCCCAGGGTGGATTTGAGGTAGGTGGCGCTGTCGCGGTTGGTCGTCTCCGAGGAGGCCGCCTCGCTGACCGCCGATCCGCCGGAGAGGGACGTCTGCGGGGTGAGGGTGTCGTAGGTCTCCGAGGTCTTGGGGCTGGGCGAGCAGCAGCTGGTGGGGTTGGTCGACTGCAGGACGGCGATGGGCGAGGAGATCTGGCTGGCTTGGAGACGTCGCAGGGTGCCGTACGGGGACCCGCGTTTCTTCGTCGACGGCGGGGTTGACGCGCCGGACTGGCTCTTCCGACGGTACCGGCTGCAAAGCACGTTCATCAATCATTGAGTCGGTTGACCAGCAGAAATTCACACTTACAGTCCGCAGCAAATAAGTACGGCGACCAACAGCAGCAGCGCCAACGCCACGCCCAATCCGACGCCGATAGCCATGGCGTTCTCCGACGCCCCGATTCCCTTGGCGTCGGCGCCCGGCGTGACGCCCACGGCGGCCAGATCCCCGGGGAAGACGTGGCTGGCGTTGTCCGCGTCCACAGCCATCCCGTCATCCAGATGCAGCGGACTGTTGACCTCCACGGGGATCCGCGCGAACCCCGTCTCGCACACGGCGTCCACCGTCTCCCAGACGCCGCTGGCTTGGCACTGCACCACACTGCGGCCGACTAGCTTCGCGCCGGCGTCCGCGCAGCGATACTCCGCCTGGCTGCCGACGTGGGCGGTCCCGTTGAGCAGGACGACGAGTAAGTGGCTGCGCGCCACCGGTTCCCCGCACGACACATCTGCAACAAGTTCAACGATTGGAATTAATGCGCCGCCGTGTCTAATGCAAGATCAGTGTCACGTACAGTGGCAGCCGGCGTCCTGGCCACTCCACGTCCCGTCCGGCTGGCACAGCCGCTCCGCCGACCCGGTCAACAAGTGCCCCGGCGCGCACTCGTACTGCACGTGGTCGCCCACCTTCCAGCCGTTGACGCCCACTAGTTTGTCGGCCACTAACAGCGCCGAGGCTTCCGGCTGCGGAGGGTCACCGCAACCTTTCGCTCCTGTGCAAGTTAATTCATTTAATTTGGTCTGCGGACGGAGGATGATTTTTTTATTTTTCTGGATTAATTTTATTTTAACTCGCATAGGCCTAATTTATTAAAATATTAATTTGATTCACTGAATTTAATCTGATCAATTTATTTTAATAAAAATTTATTTAAATGGATGAGTTTAATTGCTGTAATTTTAATTTAATTTACAGACTGAATTTAATTTATATTTAATTTATTATGATAAATTCATCTGAATAACAATTTAATAAAACAGATGAATTTAACTAAATAAATTCAGTTTAAACTGACTGACCGTAAGCGCAAATCCAGTTGGCTTCCTGATCGCACCGATACTCCGCCCACGCCCAATTGCCGACGCCCTGGCCGCCCAGCGCCGCGCACCGCTCCTCCCCGGCCGCGACATCCGGCGCCGGGCGTCCCGGCGCCCAGTACGTGGACTCCACTGGCAGCGTCTTGTTCCGCACGCTAAACACCCACTTGTCGTCGTCTGCATTGCGGCGCGCGCCGATCCAGTAGCGGTCGTCGCTGGTGTGGAAGCGGTAGAGGTTGCTCAGGACGTTGGTGAGGAAGAGCGTCGTGTCGTAGTCCGGGTTGACGAGCAGCGCGCCGCCGTTGTCCTGGCAGGAGACGGCCGCGTTGGCCCAACTGGTGGCCGTGAAGCGCACCGTCTGCAAGCACTGCCGCTTGAAGCTGTGCAGGAAGCCGGCCGCCGTCGCCGGCGTCTGCAGTCCGCACACGTCCGGACTCGCCGGCATCTCTGTCCATTAATAAAAATTAAATTAAAATGAAATATTAATAAAAATAATTTTTATTAGAATAAAAAGGAAGATAATTAAACAAACTATAATAAAAATAAATAGAAGACATTTACCGTCGCTGGCGAGGATCTGGAGGTCACAGACGCCGAGGAACTTGTCGGCACTGCCCACCGCCGACAGCGTGACGTAGCGGCCGACGGTGGGCGTGTCCAGGTAGAAGATGCCCGAGCCGGGCGCCACGTCCTTCTGCAGGTTGCGGCGAAAGGTCAGCGACAGCGGACTACCGCTGGAGCTGACGCCGGCCTTGGCCGGCTGCTCGTCCGACCGGTTGCTGATGCTGATCAGCACGTTGCGGTGGAATTGGTCTGCCGAATCACAAGTATCGGTCAACCCACGGTCACTTCACAACCACCATAACCTTGCATTTTCATTTATTTACTAATTGAAATTAGTTCATCGAATTAATTGCCAAAGTTAATCACAATTAATTGCATTTTAATTGTAATATAAATGTGTAAAATTAACAGAGATCGTTATTGTGAAAATTCATAAAAGTTAACTAAGTACGTGAATTATAGGTTAAACTGATAAATATAAATTCTCTAAACTGCGTGAAATTAAATAAACTAAAATCGTGTAAAATTAAATACAAAATACATAGATGAAAAAGTTAATTAATCATGTGGTCATTGTCAAGGGAAGACCGCTTACAGAAGAGCCGCTCCTTGTCGAGAAGGACGGAGACGGCGTGGATGTTATAGGGCTTCAAAAGGTCAATCTGCAGCCAGGACGTGCGCTCGCGGCGCGTCCAGGCGCAGGAGGTGGCGTCGTTGTCGACGGCCTGCCAGGCCGGGTAGTTGTACTGGCTGAACAGGGACGACTGCTTCGCCAGCTTAAACTGCGCCACGTTCGTCACTGCAATGCAATTAAGTTAAACTAAATTAAATTAAATTAAATTAAATTAAATTAAGGGAATGATTAATTAACGTTTAACGAGAAGTGCTGCTTGCGGGCCTCACCGCAGACGGGCTCCTGCGTGTCCCAGGTGCCGTTGATCAAGCAGGTGCGGTGGAAGTTGGCGTCGGTGGGGATGCGCTGGAAACCCGCGTTGCACTCGTAGACGGCCACGGTGCCGGGCGGGAAGGGCCACTCCACCTGCGACAGCTTCACGATGCCGTTCGCCGGCGCCCCCGGGTGCTGACACGCCACGCCTTACAAATAATACAAATTATTAATAAAAAAAATCAATAATAATCAGCAAAAATAATAAAAACATAAAAAAATAATCGAGTCATTTAAAATTAATAACAATATAATTAAACATAAATCACATTATCAATTAAAACAGAGTAATTATGTACAATTAATTTAGTTAATTTATTTCGGTAGACAGTGATGCCGTTTATGCCGTAAACGTGACCAGAGAGATTCTTTATTCAGTTAAAACAGTCTACGCTCAGATGGTTACAAGGACGATAAATCGAGGAGAAAAAATGAGCGTAATGTTTTTTGCTGGTGGCAAGAGCCTTTACACAATCCGGCCATTTGACTGATTAATTTGACTGACCTTCCTGGGAAAAGACTTGGACCTCGCAGAGGCGCAATGAGGCGTACGTGTGCCGCTTGATCAGCACCTGCCGACCGGTAACGTTCCCGGCACAGCTAAACAACATCACGTTCTGCTTATTAGTGGAAATCGACGAAGCCGGCTCTTTCTTGCTGGCCGCATCCGCTGCAACAAAATAAATACACAATAAAAAAAATAATTCAAAACAGCATAATAAATATCGAATAAATAAATACGTACTAAATACGTCAATAATGGATTGATAAAACATTTATAATAAAAACTAGGTAAATATGTACACAGTAACTACATAAATACTCAAGAAATACTAGGTAAATAAATACATAATAAACCCTAGATAAATAAATGCTGGATAAATAAAATAACGATAATTAAAAATGAGAGTAGGCAATTGACTGCACCGGCGTTTTTCTTCCCGTCTCACCTTCTTCGTCGGTGGCGGGCGCCGGGGTCACGGAGGCCAGGACGCAGGCCGTCTTCTCCTCCAGATTATTCCGCCGGCGCCGGCGTCGGCCGCTCCGCCGACAACGGCCACTTCCAGGTCGCTGAGATCTGCCGCCGCAACACACAACACATTAGCGCATCGAGCGCCGTCGTGCTGGTCACTTTCCATATAGATAACGGACGCATCGAGGGCCACTTGTGCATACGCCGCAATCACGCACTTCCCAGTCGACACAACGCGCGTCCTTACGCGACGCCACTATAACGTCAACGCTGTTCTTCCCTCTTAGCGCAGAACGCGCTTTTCCCTCACTTCCGCTCTGTTTAGCTGCATCTCACAATCAGCGCGACCGGCAATAATTTGTTTGTTGTATTTGTTCTTCGAAGAAGTGAGTGAGTGACCCGGTCTGTTCACGCTCTTCACTAATTTGCTCATATACTTTTCTCCATTGCCACTTTTACGAGGTCAACTGTTGGCTAAAAGCCCACTTAATATGAATTAAAAAGCACTTGCAAAAATAATCATAAAACGGTAATTTGGCGTGTTCATTCGGTGGAAATTAGGCGCTGTGGCGTGTGTATATGTAGACCGGCTTGAATAGCTGGCAATAAATTGTAGTTAAAACTGGCGCGGTAATTACAGCGTTTACAGTGATGGAGTTGTGACAGGCATTAGCGTAAATTACAGTGCCAGCAGCCTCAATGTCACTGTCTGTCGCAACGCGGCGGACATCACTGGCAAAATCATCAGCGGCCAATTAAACGCTACCGCTGTTTCGTCGGGAAGAAATGCTCTTCAACGACGACCGGAAGGATCCGATTTCATCTTGCGTTCGTCAGAGCCGCAACTATTTTCGAAACCTTGGCCGGCGCGCGGCCAAATGACTGTTAAGGCAAGTTCACCGCTGAGTACTTCCGGGATTCACTTTCACAACCATCTCCAAGACTCTGACTAACGCAGCGGACGCCGATTAATCTTCCACCGAGAAAAAAAACGCTCATTAATTTTTAATTTTAATTTATTTCTTTATATTATTTTCTGAATTTATTTTCTGAAATTCATTTTCCTGGTTGCAATAAAATAAGAAAGCATTGCTTTTAGGTTATTTCTTTATATTATTCTATTTTTTATTTTGTTGACTGCCGAAAAAATAATAAAAGCGGCGTGCGTCTTGCGCAATGAAGAGTTAATGCGTTTCTCGACGAGAGCTCCACTATCGGACCCTGGAGACGCCGGCACCGCGTCCACCTAATTGAGAATGCACTCTGCATGTGCACTGTTGATTCAAGACGCTCTCAGCGATGATCTAACCGTCAGCGATGCCGATTGCACAATCCCAATAACGATCCGCACGGCGAGCCGGTCTACGTCTGTGGAGTGCATGGGAAATGCACTAATTACCGAAACGCCGGCCCGGCCGTTCTCATAACCTTACCGGCTGACAGCCCACTCGTCCACACAGTTATGTTTGCCCGGCAACAACAGCATTATGCGCCGGATGACCCACATGTTTGGCTAATTATTATGAAGATTAAATTAGATAGAAGTACCTGTGGATGTGTCAGTGTAGAGCTTGACGGCCACGACGGGGTAGTCCCGCGCCAGCTGCACGCTCCACACAGGCTGGCTCTCCGTTAAAGTGCTTGAGCAATAAATCCGCGTCCCGTCCACCGCCAAATACGCCGCCGCCTGTTCGTTCATTACAAATCAATTAAAAAATTACTAGACATTAATAAAAAAATTAAACAAAAAAAATTCCTGCAAATTAGCAAGAAATTAAATAAAAAAAACTGTAATGAAAATTAATCAAGAAACAATTAAACAGAAAATTACTGCAATTGAAATATATTAAGAAAAAATTAGATAAAAATAAATGCGAACATAAAATTAAATAAAAAAATCCCGGAGTGACCGGAAGTGGTGTCCGTACCTCGTAGGCCTGTTTGGGGCCGGTGGCGCGGTTGAGCGGCGCGGTGAACTCGGTGGCGTTGGAGGTCTGTTTGGCGGGCTGGCGGATGGCGATGTTGATGGCGCAGGCGGGGCGCTGGCCCAGCCAGCGCCCGCTCCGACACTGCCGCTCCGCGGCGCCGAACAACTCGTAGCCCGGCAGGCAGACGTAGCGGGCCAGCGGGGCCTCACCGGCGTCCGACAGGCTGATGAAGGCGTTGGGCGGGGGCAGCAGCGGCGGGCAGGCGGCGCTCCGGACGGCCGCCGCCCCGGCCACGCACAGGGACCATCCTCCCAATCCCGCCCAAACTGTGGACAAAAATACCGTTAGCATTCCGAAAATGCCTGCAAAAATATTTCGATTAATTCTATGATTTTATATTTTTATTTCCTTAATTTTCTTCCCAACCGGCATTTTATTAAGACTAAACCGGGAAATAATTTCTAATTAACCGGCATTTTGAAAAAATTAAAATCTCGAAATAATTGCCGATTAATTTTTACAATTTATTTTATAATTTCATTTTTCTTTGACTTCATAACCGGCATTTGGCATTTGGAAAACGATGTGAATAAATTCTGACTGATTTTTACGAGTATGTTTCCGCTTTTATTTTTTGATTTTGTAATTGTATTTTTTTAACTTGGCAACCGGCATTTTGAAAACGACATGAACCATGAAATAATTCGGTATTTTTCCAACCGCCAGCGTAGTTAGTGGTTGGTCAGACGCAGTGTTGCCGAATTTGTCCAAGTGTTTTTCTCATTGAACACCTGAGAAGCAACTGACACAGCATAAAAGCCCGTCACGCACCGCAACACAGCAGCCTCTCGAGAAACGGTGTGATTGGTAAGAATTATTTAGGGAATGATTACTACACACTCGTGTAGTGCCTCATCAGCAGCGCCGACCAATTCACGTCGACGCAATATGCATCTGACATTAATAAAGAACAACCTCAGCAGAAGCATAACGCGGTCAGCGCACGTAATTCTTGCTGATTGTCTCGCGAGATCTCGCGCGAACCGGGTTAAGATGCGCAGCCCCGCGCTCTTTATTCTCCCGAAAAATCGTATCAATGCGGCGTTGTGCAAATAATCGATTAACACCGGTTGCGGCTAATCGCTGCGCAATTGTCTCAAAGCGCCGGTTGCGGTAAAATCGCAGTAATCATAATTGTGCCAGCGAGAGCGTTAATAGCCGGCGTTTTTATGACGGCGCTGATCACCGCATCCCACTGCGAAACACCTCGTAAATGGCTTAACAGAACACAGCGGGCAGTCACGCACAGAAAGGATACAACAAGCGGCAATATCTGTACGTGTAATTATTAATCCGCTCTGATTTCCAACCCACAAAAAAATAAACCGCTCTTCTTTTTCTTTGTTCGAAAACCGATGGGCCAATAAATATTTGAATGCCGGCTCCAAAGTGCGCCGTGCCCGGCGAGCATGGCCTACTTCATTATTTATTTAAATTTGATTTTTATTTGAGAATCACGGAGCTGTTTATTTCGCGAATCAACCGGCGTTTCCTGTCCAGATGCAGCTGGCGCCCCGCGGCGGTCATTTCACGACACCGGCATTTTTATACTTACTTTTGAATATTTATTTTCGAAGCGTAGAATAGAAATTTTGTATTTTTTAATTTATAAATAAACGACAGCAAAATGCAAATTTAAATAAACAAAAATATTAAAACGAAGGAAAAATATAAGGAAAAAAATTAGAATTCCCTGCGCGATTTGTGCTGAAACGGTGAAGACGGTTAGGTAAGACAAGTGGGGATGCTCGACGTTAAGTGGGCATTTCTTAAATGGTAATCCGATCAGAAAGTTTGATTGTGCAAATAAATAGGTCAGGCGCATTTATTAGCGGGGTGGCCCGTACTTGAGCGATCGCAGCATCGCCGCATCGCATCGCAGCGGCGCGGATGATATTGATTTTTGCAAATCAAATAAAACGATAAGAAGCGCAGAGTGGCGTAACCGTATCTATGTCAAGCGATCAAGCAGCCAAGCAATATGCTCCGCATTTCATATTTCGCCCGGCATAACGCACTTGGACTGCAGTTGCGTTGTACAAACAGTGTTTCTTACGGTTTTCCCATTTGCATTTGACCAAAACAAAATTCTTAAAAAATTGCAGCAGTTCTTAAAGAATTGCTATAAAAAAATTCTTAACAAATTCTTAAAAATCGTAGCCTTAACAAATTTTTAAAGAAAACGTAGAAATCCTTAAAAACTTGCAGCTGAAAAATTCTCAAAAAATGCTGCCTTAATAAAACTCTTGGAAACTGTTGGAATTCTTAAAAAATTTTAATTAAAACGGTAAAAACGGTTGTTTGTTCTTACAAAATTCTTAAAAAAATGTTGTTTTAACAAAATTTTTCAGAAATTGTTGAAAATTCTTAAACAAACATATCAAAAAATTCTAAAAAAATTGCCGTCCACAGAAAAATTTAGAAAAAATGTTGGGTAAGTTAGAAAAACGGAAAAAATAAACCGGTTGGTGGATAGGGGATTAATTGACGTGGGGGTATTAATAGCGGGTAATCAGCGACCTGGCGGACACGTCAAAAATCACAGCAACGCCAAACTCAAGGTAAACCGGGGCTACTGACATTGGGGAGCTGCGACGACGCCAGCGCTGCTGCTTATTTTATTAGTTATGGTCCCGGCTGTGATTACTGATTAGGCAGGATGTGTTTGTCTGTGCTGCAAGTGCGGTAATTTTGTCGCATCGCGGACATAATGCTCTGTATAAATATCCGCTGGATTGAACTTCTCAGCGCGCAACCGATCATCTCATTCCGCGGATGGAGACGTGACCACTGTCACGGCGCAGCTGATTAATCGCCACAGCACCGGAAATTCAACATATGACGACACGCTTCGCCATACATGGACAAATATATTTTTCCAAAAATATCTATTGCGGATTTTACACATTTTATTGACGCAACAAATCCGCAACAAAGCGATTATGTATGAATTATTATTCGGAATAAAAACGCCGGTGATGCGCTAATTAACACAACCGACTTCTTTCAAATCATCGTTCGCGTGCGGATGAAAAGAAACGCCGAATAAGATCGACGGATACGAACAAAAAGCGCATAACCGCTGCGCTGATTTTTGCCATTCTTGCCAAATTAACCTGCATTTTCTCTGCCGGCAATCCGAATCAGAATAGTGTCGTTTTTTGTCCGTTCTCATAACATAATTATGGATGCAGTGGCGCGCGCACAACCGATATTACGCATAACGAATACCGTAATTGCCGGCCCGACAACGATCGCACCGGAAACACGCGCTATTCTTCCGCGACATGCTCGTCCAGCTAATTCACTTAGCAGGAAAGAAAAATCTACAAACCGATCGATATTACAGAGTATATAGCCTACAAACAGTCTTCCCATTAACGGCTGTCAGTGTATCCATTTTGACCGGTTCGATGACACGCCATGCGGAACAGTGGAACGACTCCCGAGAATTAAATCGCCAAAAATCGACACTTGCCGCAAGACGTTCACCGAATTGTCTCGCACTTCCTGGCGCTTTCTTCCAGCGCAAGGAGCACTGCGCCGGCCATTCACCGGCCACCAAACACATTTCTTAGCAAATAATTGCTCGACAACGGATTGTTGCGATTTCCTGGCCCACTTATTCCACAATTCAGTTTACGCAGAACAAACGCCGCAAAAATGCAATCCATTTCCCAAAAATGTTCTCTGACGAATGTGTAAAGAAATGCAAACACAAATACTGGAAAGAAAAGGGAAAAAATGGCAAAATATTAATTTCAGTAAAATCGGCAAAAATATTTTCAACAAATTGCAGAAACTGCACCACGCGAAAATTTGTTAAAGCGTGCGTCTGATAATTCTGAGCACCTGCAGAAATTATTCGCTTATGAATTTATAAGACAGTCCAAGCCAAAAAAAAATGTTCAAAATATCAGTTTCCGTAATTTAAAAAATGGCAACTTAATTTCAGTAAATAAAAAAATTGGCAAACATATTCATTTCAATAAATTCCAGAAGCTTTACCAAGCACAGAAATTTAATAAAACGTGTATTTCGGAATTCTGAGGCTTGGCCAAAGTGATAAATACAAAACTGACACGAAGCCATAAAAAGCAAGTTAAATGCGTGAATAAAAAGCAAATTGCATGATTTGATGGCGCATTACACGAACAAGCATCCGATTACTAATTCCTCATTTTTTTCCGCCGCATGTTTTTGCTGATGCGCTGCGAAAAGTTGACAGGTAAGTGGAAAATAAAACCGTCATCGTAAACAACAACAACAAATTTGTAATGAGACGCAGCGCGCTCGGACAAATTCGCACTGAAAGAGAGAGACAGAGAGAGAGCGACATAAAAAAGAATAATCTCTGCCAGTGCAGATTTGCAGCAGCGCTGCGTGTGTGGTTCAAAGGCCATCAGCAGCGATGCCATCGCGGCTAATCAGCGGCATGTATCGGCATTCTCGTCCTTCCTTATTAAATTTCCATAATAATCGAGTAGCGTCGTTAAAAACTGCCAACCAACCAGTTGGAAACAAAAACCGCGACACGACGATTAAAAAACCTGATTGACAGTTGTTAAAGCAGCATGGCGCAATATCCGTACTCGCTGTTCAGCTGCGTGACAGCGGATGAGCGGATCACCGGGAAAGCAGCGCACGCGCCGCGTTGATGATGCGGGCAGTGCTAGCGCGGACAGTTTACAACCGGTTACAATCACAATTGTCCAACTGCCCAAACTAGATCACACAGCACAATTGAACTCTCGCTTCTCACAACATAAACATGCGCAGCATTTTCCCGCGCGCGGATCACCAAACATCCGCGTTATTAAACCACCCAACGAGCGCCGCTATGTGAGCGCGCCCAGCGAATTCTGAAATTCCTCGGTCGGTGTGATAACGCAGTTCCTGTTCTTTTCGTACAGGGAACCAACGACCAGTCGCGCAATTTATCAAATAATTTTTAACAAAATTAAAATAGTTTTGGACCCAATAAAAATCGAATAGATAAGCTAGACTTGATAAAATAGGGAAAACGCGATAAACGCTGGAGCTTACCCGCGCAGATCAGGGCAATAATCCTGGTGTTCAGATGAGAGGCAATTAAATTATCCGCAATCCCTTTATACGTGCGCATCCTGACAGATAATCAGCGCTGGAAATCCCCCGGGAATGGGCATCATGGAGAGACGAAATCCGCCGGATTGCATGGGCAAAATATGAGAAGAATATCTGTTAGAAAACGCCAGCTGTTTGCGCTTTTCAGTGCCTGTTCATGTTGTGCAGGAGGATTATTACGGCGTTGAATGAGTGACGGAATGAAGGCACTCGTCTGGGCAGAATATTATCATCAACCGGCGAGCGCACTCGCATCGGGAACGAAAGCACAGCGAACAGACAGAATCTGTATCACGTCAATGAGTATGCAGTTAAACTGGCACAGACAGACCGCTGATCGATTCCACTGGCACTGTTGCGCGCTGTACGAGTGGTCAGTACGTACGGCTGCTGCATGCGGCGGTGAATGAGTGGGCGGGCGTAAAGCCGCACTCAACTGAACTGACCAGTGGAAAGCGGATCAGCCACGCTGCTGTACATACATACGATGAAGATGCGCTGAAATAGCCGGTGCAGGCCGGATGCGGCGTACGAGTGGAGGTCAGTTAAGGCCTTGTACGACGCTAACGCTTCACGCTTAACAATCGTTTACGTGATGTAATCTGGTTGTTTGACAGCAATTAATCACCGGTTGTAGAAAATCAGATTGCGGAGCATCACTTGCCGACAATGAGGCGTCGTCGCTTATTGCCAGCCAGTTTCTAACTTTCTACAGTTAAACAGCAGTGCGAAACGGTTAGCTACAAGCTACAAAACGCCGGCGTTTGAATGGAGCGACAAGAGGCGTGAGCTTGAGTCAACAACGCGATGGACGCCGGCATAATAGCCGCCACTGTTGTCAAGCTGCTCAAGTGGTCAGCCACTGTGCGACGATGACTGAGCACGCACCAGCTGAGTGGTTACGGCGCGGAGAAATTTAAAAAAACGTGAAAAATTACCCGCTCGTCCATCGTTTTTACCAACAAGCGAATTTTAAATCACTGTTAAATATAACGGAATAACAAATCAGCCGATCGAATAAAAATCGCCAGCTTAATAACCGATGCGAAAAAAATAGTTTCGATGATTCATAACGATGAAAAGGTCGGTTGCTTTGCAGCCAAGCGAGCACTGCCACTGACCACAGCGAAATCCGGCTCCGGTGTAGATGCGTCGCGGTAGTTGGCGTGGAAACCTGTCATCGGGGTTGTTTTAAGCGGCGAGTAATCCCCGCGATTACGAGACCACTTCGCCGGATTACCAGGTACTACGCGGCTCGGACTTATTTGTTCACGATCCATCTTCGTTTCTTACCAATAAAATGTTGTTGTACAAACATCATCATTCGTTGGTGACCGGTAGTAGCCGGTTTTGGTGTACATTAATTGCTGCTGTTACTGTGTAGCCGTTATTTTCTGCAGCTGTGTAATTACTTCCTTCAAGTGCTGTAATTATGGGATTTAATAGCGAGGTGTGCGTTACAATTATGCTCACTGCACATGCAATATGAGTAGCGCATGCAAAAAAGCCAGCCTACAGCGTTTTGCCTTAGTATTGATTATGACTAGTGACAGTGAGATGCTGATTGCAGCTTGTGAGCTTTTTTGTCCGTTTGACGCATACGCGGCATTAGAGCAGTGCATGATTAGATTGCCGGTGAAATTTGCGTGGCTAATAATTCCCTGCATTCAACCTAGATTCGGCAGTCTCTTTCTGCTCTCACCCGGTAATAACGCGGCTACTCGAGCGGCATGGACAATGGAAAGCGGATTAAGTGCGCCGAGGTACCACGCAGCCATCGTGACAAGATGCATAGCGATCGGAGTTATACGTTACGCCGCGTGGAGAACTATTACAACATCCACACAATACCGCGCGCGCATTAACAGCTGTTGAATGCGCCGTGATCTCTCGGCTTGTCTGTTGACGCGCCGTTATTGCTGCTTCACGGTTCCGTGTTCAACAAGTTTATGCAGAATTTCCCGGGTTACAGAAATATAAGAAAAATAACGATAAAAGCACTTGCCCCTTTTTTTAATCCCTTCGTGGCGGCAGGAAATTGTTCCCCATGGTAAAACGGTGACCTTTTACATAAACTTAAATAAGAATATTAACAATCAAAATCTGAGAGCAACCACACAGGAAACGAGCCGCCACAGCCGTTGTGAATCGCAGCGGAAGGGCGCTTGCAGACTAATCGTCGATCATGTTGTTGACTAGGATCTGGCAGTTGATTGCGCCTGCAGTTAATTAACCGGCTTATTTCAAAACGGCAGGCGTAACTCGACAACTTGTTGTTTATTTTTTTATATTGCATTTTATTACTTATTATTTTTATTTTCTGTTTAATTTTATTCATCTATTTATGTTTAATTATTTATTCGTTTATTTGTTTTGTTTGTTTACATACCGGTAGGCTCGGGCGCCGGCGTGACACAGGCGTATCTGACGAGCAGCGCCTTGCCCGTGCAGCCCTGATCCGGGGACGGATCCTGCGCCGTGAACGTGCACTGCGCCGCGCCGTCCTTGCACGTCTTCTGCAGCTGGGTCAGCGCGTAGGCGTACAGACAGTATGTTGGTGCTGTTTCGGGCAGCCAGTACGAGGCGCTGAGCAGTTGGATCTCCTGCTGCACCATCTCCGTCTTGGACGCGCTGGCTTTCTGCTTAGCGCCCGGACACCCGCCGGACACCGGCACCGGCACTTTCGGACACTTTATCGTGTGCGACCGACCGTCCGGAATCAGCGCTGTTGTCACGGGACCGCTTGCCTTCTCTGCGTCCGCAACTGCCTGCTCCCAAGAATTTCATCAAGAACACGCGGATATCATCGGCTCAGAATTTGCGCTACGTACCGAGCATCCGAGGAAACACGCAACGATCAGCAATAGTCCGGACAGTCCCATCTTGGCCGTTAATGTTTTTACGCTGGATTTTCTATAATTTTTGTGTAGACGCCAGTAATAACTAGAGCGCCGGTTAAGACCGAATCAAGTAAGCAGAGACAACTGACAAGTAGTGCGCCGCAGTTCCCGGACGCCGACTGAATTAGACTTGCCGGTTTTGCTGCAGGCGCATTTCTTCTAAATGAAAATTATTATCAAATTAATGCATTTTCACAGCTGCTCGGAAACAGTAACACCCGCTAGCGGGTCTGCTGAATTGATTCTGGTTTCTCGCATTCACACGATTTCACGTTTTCAGCCGTGTCATTAATTGTTACATGATTACCAGTTTTTATTGCTCACTGTACAATTAAGCGGTAAAATTAAGCAGCAGCATGACAGTCTGACTAATCATTACTTCGGCAATTCGGCTAAAATGAGCATTTGCAACGCAATGTATAAACGTTTAAGTATATTCTGAATCCGGCAGTGCAGCAAAAGGCGTAATGTTTCTCCCGTCAGGTGTCGGTTAACCAGAAGGTCTCCACCAGCCCTTTTCCCTGGAAAAGGTCATGTCATATATACGACTGGATTATAAGCAGGTAGAGTTATCAATAAAAATGCGCACTTTGACTTGGATGACGCCGCGTGGCTGCAGATTAAACTGGGCGGGGCCACCGGCTTTGCCCAATAGTTCTTTGCTGTCCCGGCTGACTTGGATCCGCGAGGCTACAGATATCTAACATGAACAAATCTTCTCGCAAAACTGAGCTCCAAAGCATTACCTTCGCCGTGGCTCTCCATGCGGCTGGCCGTATTCATCGTATCCCCGAATCTGTAACAATATATGCGAAAAACTGAATTACATCGGTGGCAGAAGGGAAAAATCAAAGGTCACTGACAAGCAGTAACGCGGCATGCGCAGCCCGACGAAACCGGCGGCGATGGGCCCGCTGTGCATCCCGATGCGGATAGGCAGGTACACCCGCAGATTCTCGGCGGAGCAGTGCCGCAGAATGTGCCCACTCATCGCCGCGATCTCCCTTACGTGCGCGTCGCCGTTGCGTACCGGCACGCCGCTAGCCACCTGTTGACAGGCGCACTGTGTATTGTCAATGCTGGGAAAGGTCACTGATCTCAGCTTACGACGTAGCCGTCTTTGATGGTCTCCACTTTGTAGACGTCGAAGCCGGCGATCTGCTGGTCGAGGAAGGTGTACAGCTCGTTGAGGAAGATGCAGACTTCCGTGGGCGTGCAGCGGTAACACAGCCCGTCGAAGCCGACCATGCTGCTGAAGAACAGCGTCACCGCGTCGAACACTTCCGCCGCGGCGATGCGGCCTTCGCGAAGCTCCGCCACGAACGACCTACAATCAGCCGCACAAGAATTTTTTTTATTTTTTGCTTATTTTTTCCATTTTAATTTTATTTTTTTTATTTTATTTTATCATGTTATTTTATTGTTATAATATTTTATTTTATTATTTTGTGTTGTTATTTTATTTTATTATTTTATTAGTATATTTTATTATTTTTATTAACCGGGGAATGATTTCGCTAAGGAGCTCGTCGACCCGGCGCCGCTCCATCAACAGCTCCAGACCCCGGCGCGCCACCACGTCCTCCAGGTGTTCCGCGTGGCGCTGCAGTCGCTCCCGCAGTGTCCCGACGATGGTGTCGCGCGGCTGGAAGCCCTTCAACTGCTCCAGCACCGCCTTGATGCTCGGCCGCTCCAGGGCGTTGGGACACACGCAGGCGTGGATGACGTCCCGGATAATCCACGACAGCATCTTGTTGTCCAGCTTGATCAGCTCTGTAAAAACAGTAACTTTGTTAACCGGTACATAAAAAGAACGCTGGAAATGCGGCGCACCGATGTCGGCAATCTCGCCGAACTCGGTGGTCTTGGCGCCTAGGACCTCGGCGATGACCTTTCCCAGGCAGAAGATGTCGTCCGGCTTGGAGAAGTGGTTGAGCGCCTTGCTCTTGGTCAGGTTCTTGGTCAGCCGGAAGACGATGGCGCCGGAGCCGGCGCCGGCCAGTTTGGCCGTGAACCGGCTGTCCAGGATGATGCTGGCGCTGGATAAACTACCGTGCGCTTCCATACTGCTCGTTACATGGATATATCTCACTCCCTAAACAATTCCCTATAGTAACATTAATTCACCGGTATTTTTTTTCAGTTTACCAAAATGATGTTAAAGACGATGTGCATCCGCACGGCATCATCCGCCAACAGCACCGCGTTCTGCTGCATCACATCCCGCAGCGTCCCGCGGCCGCCTTCCCACACCAGGTGCAGGGTGTGGTGGTGCAGGGAGACGCCGATAAAGTGGGCTAAATTGTCGTTTTTCATTTCCCGCAGCTGCAAACGCACTAACGCTAAAAGGTCACTGATTTATTACACGCGTTAGGAGTGTACTTGTTTGAGCGGCTTAAGCAGAGCGCCGTTAACAGCCGGCATTTCGGTGACGTCGACGCTCTCGCAGCGCACCAGCACCTTATCGTGGCCGTACGTGGCCAGGACGAAGCGCTCGTCGCTGTCGCAGCTGGTTAGCGCCTTTTCGCCGATGATGTGCAGCGCGGTGCTGTCCAGACGCCACCAGTCTTCACCGTCGCGATCGCCAGCTTTATTGCGTTTTCTGTAAAGTGCGTATATTTATTTTTTATATTTTTTTAAATCCATTTTAACTCCAATTATTTTTTTATATTTTTTTTAATTATTCGGCGTACATTATGGCGAGAACAACAGCCACTATGATCAGGCAGCCGGCAACGCCTCCACACACCGACCCAGCGATTAACGGCAGCAAGTCTACCAATAAACATTCATTTTCGCTGACACAAAACGGTTAAGGAACAATTGTTACCGCTCTTCACGGAGCAGCCGCCTTGGCGGTAGCCACAGCGCGGCTCATTCCGCGGGGGCGTGGCCGACCCCGGCCATTGGTCGGCCAGGGCGGAGACGACGCTGAGATTGCGCGTTATGGCGTCATAAATCCATGCCGGCTGGAAAGGTCACGCACATGTTTAGCCTGACTTGATGGGTCAAGATAATGCTCCGCACCTGAAACTTGCGGGTGGTGGTGTTGAGTTTGGAGAAGATGGTGTTGGACAGGCGCATCCCGTTGGCGCCGATGAAGACCTTGCGGATGGTGCTGGGGAATTCCCGGTTGACGACGGCCGCGCGGAACTCAGCGTTGGTCAGGCGGTCCAGCGGGACGCCGCTCTCGTTTAAGACTTGCGCCACGGAGAAGATCATTTCCGGGATGGTCAGTGTGTGCTCACTGTACTGCACACATAATCACATTTACATTAATTAAAATTTAAATACATATAATGCAGGAAAACGTTATTGAAATATATGTACATATACTGTATGTACAGAGTAGCTTCAAAATTAAAACATATATGCACTAAAATACATTCATTGAACAAGAAAATGTACATTAAATTCAACAATAAAATAAGCATTAAAAAAATATGCGTCAACAAGTCAAAATGTAAAAGTGTTGCCTCGATCAGCAAAGGTCTCGCCTACGTTTTCGTCCGGCGTGAAGGGATGCGCGTAGCTGCGGTTGGCCAGCTCCTCCGTTTCGTCGATGAGTCCGGCGACGGAACGGTAGTTGGGGATTTCAAAGGTCAACACGATCATGCGCTGGTACGCTTGGAAGATGATCTGCAGAGAAAAACGACGCGTGACCTTTAGGCATCGTGTGTGCCGCCAAGCGGATGGTTACTTGATCGTCCGGTTGACCTTTATCCACCACCAGCGGAATATGCCCGACCCCCTCCAGCGTCAGGACGTACAGGTAGATCTGGGCAAAAACATATGACCAAAAAATAAAATTAACAGTCACAAAATAAAAAAAATTAAATAGATACAGCAAAAAAATAAAAAATAGTGAAATAAAAAAGAAAATAAATATAAAAAAGAAAAAATTAAACCCTGAGCACCAGCGGCAATGAATGTAGAAGAAATGTGTGTGGGCGGACTTACGTATTCGCTGTTGACCATATCCAGGCGACTGGCTGTCAACTGTCAACAATGCGTCAACGTCCATGAATGGCGATTGTGTTTTAGCACGCAGTCATGCATTAATCAATCATCTCGACACCCTACCATAATCTGGCGGATCTGGTCGGCAGTGGTTAGGAGGATGATTACTGCAACGCGCACCTTATAATTAAACAGAAACCAGCACGTGACCTTTTGCGTAACGTACCGCGACTCTGCAGTTGCGCGCGCCGCAGCCGCGGCGCGTAATTGCTGTCCTTCACTGAATCGAAGCGTTCCACGTAGACCTGGTAGCCTTCACTAGCTACCAGGTATTTCGGGAAGTGGTTGCAATGGGAGTCGTAGAAACCAGCTACGGCGGCGTTCTGCGACAGGTTGTCGCATAACAGCGTGATGCTGCGCCAGTCGTAGCGCTGTAATAATGATTTGGTGGCCAGTGTGTGGCCGCCACTGCCGCGGCAGCTGAAGGAAAGGAAGGTCGGGAAGCGCTGCCGGCTAATGAAGGTCGGATCCCACACCGTGCTACAGAGGAAATTTCCAGTTTGAGGATTTTTTCTGCAGGAGAAACGCTTACCTGCTGATGACGGGGATGTTCATTTCTGCAAAACAATTTCTTCTTTTAATGCCAATAAAAACAAACAATATGAACAATATACATAAAAAAATTAATAAAGAAGTAAAAATAAAATTAAGTGTAAGAAACAAAAATGAAACAACAAAACGCTAAAATTAAGTCAAAATTAGTAGAATATAAAATAAAAGGGAGAACAAATTATTTTTCACATAACAACATTAGAAAACAAAATTGCAATTAATAAAAAAATGATTTAATAAAATGAGCGCAGCAAAACACAGAAATTAAAGCGAACTACTGAAATAAAATTAAAACAAAGTAAAACAGTTTGCGCTACAATAAAATATAACAAAGTTAACCGCGACGTGTTACTCTATTATATTACCCATACCTCGCGCAAAATCAGCCAGCGGAATGACTTCGAAATTGCAACCTGTCGGAAGAGCAAAATTTATAATATCCGGCGCGAATTAAATATATATTAATACAACGGCATGAGCGCGTGTACCGGAAGTGAAGATGATGGACATGCCGGTCGTGTTGGCGACGATGCTGTGCAGTCTGCCGACGGTGTCCTGCATGGCGGCGGCCGAGTCGGCGCAGAAGAGCAGGTTGGGCTCGTAGACGGGCTGCATCCGCACCAGCTGGAAGGTGGCCGGGTACATGCGCTGGGCGTGGCGAAAGGCCACGTCGTAGTAGGGCATCAGCGCCGGATACCCGTACATCGGGTTCTCGCCCATAATCACCGTTATAAAGGTGATCGTTTGACCGGAAGTCACCCGGCAACCGATGACCAGTAGCACCAACACGTTCTTCGCCAGCCGGGACATTTCTACAATTTTCCTTTGCAGCGAAAACTGTGTACGGGAAGTTGGCAATAATCGCGTGCAGCGAACAGGACAGGATGCGGAAAGATCCGCCTAGCACAGCAGCAACGCCTGAGTGGCCAGCAATCCGGTAGCGGAAAGATTTAGCCTGCACGAGCGCCGCTGACAGGGCTTTTCCTCTGCACGCCGCGCTACACACGCTTAATTATTCACCGCACAAACAAGCACGCTGGTAATCTTCCCCCGTCACTGCCGCTTTCTCGCAAATGAATGGCGTATGATTAGCGACGCAGTGTGCCGCAATATGCTGAGCGCTGTGTCTCTCCGCACCGCGTGTATTGTTATGTTTTGTTTGCTGAGCGGAGCGGAGCGTATTAGTCTAATGTGTTGTTCGTGGAAAGCGGCAGCCCGGAATAGTGCGTCAGCGGTATTGTCGAAGGATTGCCGTACGTCCGGCCGACGGAATTATTCATGTCCGGGCTCTGCACAACACGTACGTTGACGCCGTCAAACCGGCTGCTTTTGCGCTTTCCGCTGCCGGCAAAGGTCACGCTTTGGCTGCACCATATTTAATGCAATAAACCTGTGTTTACAGTGTGACAGCGCATGTGCACAACGCAGTGACCTTTAAATTAACCGGAATTTGTCATTTGGCGAACAGATGTCTCTGGCTTGGCTTGGTCATGCTGTATTTTGCACATAGTTAAACAAGGATACATAAGAACAAACTTGAGAGCAAATTATATCGTTGCAGTATGCATTAATCAGCATTATGTACGTACAGCTAATACAGGCCGCCTTGCATCATGTGATCACGTATATATGCAGTTATGCGTGAAATACAAATACCTCATGATTATAATCATGAGGCATTTGTATGGTTTCTTTCGAATAATAATTAATATGGTATTATTATCCGTCGTATTCATTTCCTTCTTCAGCTAGACAAGAACATGACGCTGTCACATGGCAGCCAAATACAGTACTACTGCAGCGGCGCCGCGAAATGGACGTAAGCCGACTGGGGAAACCACACGGGGCGGCGGACATCGGTGCGCAGCCAGCAGTCGACCCGCGCCAATCGGGGCTTGGCCTCCTGCTTTATGCGGATGGTCAGTGTGCTGGCGCAGATGGGATCGGCAGCGCCGGGCGCCGAGACGTTGAAGGTGACGGTGCCGTTGAGGAGGCCGGGGACGTCGCCCAGCAGCGAAGGACAGGGCGCCGCCACGACATACCCGTCGTACCTCCAGATGAAGTGCGACGCGGGCGGCGTCCGGCTGCAGTTGACGCGCCCGCTGCACGTCATGGAGAAGCTCCAGCGCGGCGTGGTCACGTTGCGCAGGGGCGGGACGAAGACGTCCTGGGCGCGCAGCTTCAGCGGCAGCGGCTGTAAGTGGTAGGTCCGCAGGAGGCAAAGGTCATCGTCGTCGGGTCCGCAGGGCAGGAAACACTGCACCGGCCCGCCGGAGTCGCGGCCGACATCGAAAATGAAGAGAATGCTGGCGTTGTGTACGGTCTTCTGCCGGTAGGAGTGACCTTTGTCGGAGACCGGCACGTCGCCGCCGTGGATGGTGGCGTTGTGGTGACGCCAAACGATTGCTGCGCCGCTGCGAACGAGGCCGCCTCGCAGAAAACCATGGCCCAGTCTCCCTCTGGGACACTGACCGTATTGGGCCGTGGCGGTACCGTCGGCTCGGTGGTGGTGACGGGTGTGGTGCCCTCGAGGGCGGACAGGTCGATAACGTTGTCCGTCATCCAGACTTCGGCCTGGCCCACGTGCAATGCTGCAAGCCGACGCTCTACTGCAAGGGAGGACAATGCATGGAATTAATTAAGTAGTCGAGCGAAAGGTCATGCCAGGTGCTCACGGGGATTCCGGCCGCCGAATGGGCAGCCGTTGACGATGCATCCCGGGGCACTGACCAGCAGTCCCCGTAGTAGAATGCTGTATATTATCGTCCTGCGGGACGCGGTCAACCTCTCGTGCAACGCCGTCTTCCGACTAAATAAACTGGTCGGCATGGCGGCCCGGGTGGGGAGTGGTGCGCTGGTCATTTTGATCATGTTTGTTGACAGTTAAATAACATTAGTAGTATTAATATGATTAAAAATTATCGCACTCGCAATAGCGTGAACGGCAGATCCAGCGGCGGGTTACCCAATGCAACGTTCTGTTCTTCTCGTTCATTGGCTCCCGTGAGTGGCGTTCACAGGAATGCTTGCCCCATGCTATAACTTTCATGCTTAGGTTTTTGTCAGCGTATTGTTATGTAATGTCACTAATGTCACAATAGTTTATTTCACAACTTGTACAAGCAAATGCCATTTAAATTTAAAACTCAAATATCCAGCAGCTAGAACAAATGAAAAAGCTCTTCCAGCTCTTTTGAACAACGAACTGTTCCCAAAACAGAAGCGGCATTTCCGCGCTGAATTTCAACACTTATACGCTGCCACAAAAATTCCAGAGCGCGCGCCTAATGTCACTGTATCTGACACAAGTAGCCGGATAACACAAACAAGTGAACCTGTGGATGGTCCGTGATTGAGCGTACAGAACCTATGTAACAGATGATTGTTAGTGATTATGATCAGATTCCCAAAGTAAAGGTTGCATCCGTGTAGCAGAAATCACCGTGAACTCAAGACAGTGTTATACAGCCTTTGAGCCTCATTATACGAGTACAACCAGCCCAGTAATACAGCCCAGTCGCTGTATTATTGCTGCAGCCATCCAAACGTTAACGGCGAACATGTACTTGTATAATTATTATACCAATACCGGTAACTCGGCTCTTTCTAGAAAGTTCACATAATGACTGTCAGCTAAATGACGGACTACAACACGATCGAGCGCTACACATTAAACCATCCCGTCTCCAGTTAAAGTGCTGTTTTCCTCAACATAATTCTTATGGATGTCAGCCAGTGCTTATTTCTCAGCGTTATATTATAATATACTCAAGGTGTGATGGAGCGATTCAGTGTGCGTTACGATCGTTAACGAGATTGATGGTGAGTGTCTCGTTAATCAGGGTTCTTGATCTTAATGCCCTTTCCCCATGCATATTATAGCCCAGCTCGCCACACTAGCAGTGCAGCGCAGCAGGCGGAAACCCACCTGACCACCATGCAGCGTCATCATCCTGCCCACCTTCGATGACCTAGCTTCCGGCGTGCACGTGCCGCAATGCCGGTCCATATGCTGTGCAGGAAACTTGAAAACCACACCTACCTTGTCGGCAATCGAGGCCACGGCCTTGGCCCTAGGTTCGCAGAAAACGGTTGCCGTAGCTCCCAGTCAGGCGGCACTACCACGCCAACAAGTCAGCGTAGGTACATACTACATTGCAGAGACACGATGGCGGATTCATACATCGACGCGACCTCAAAGTGTGCTGGCGCCGTCGCCGAATTGGCTTGCCGCGAGAAGATTGGAAAATACAAGTCGCTCACTGATCGCTGTAATTTTGTCCCCATGCATGTGAGACTTTTGGCACTTGGTGTACGGCATTGTTACGTTAAAAAAGATCGGTAGGAAGTTGTTTTTAAGGACGGGTGAGAGCCGCTCTACTTATTTTTTGTTTCAGCGTTTAAGTTTGGAGATTATAGATTATAATGCGTGGTAATGCTATGAGTGTATTGTGCAGTCCCTTCCCATGTTAATTGCGACAAATTCTTCATTTGATCATATTATTTTGTTGAGCGAAGCTCGTCTTATACATATTGAGAAATAAAAACTAGATGACATACTACATAGTATGTACTTCTCTTGGCCCAGCAAATCGGTCGTCCGTCACAGCGCCCCAGCGACTGTCGGCTGCGTGCCCGTCTTCCGCTTCCGTTTTCACTGCTCCAGATACCCGGTGGCACACCGTGCAGAGCCTTCACACCGGCGTGGACACCTTAAGCTCAAAGGCCCCATGCAGTACGCAGACATCGCCCCATGCGCCCATATCTCTATATAATAATCGCGTAAGCCTTAATCTTTGTTGAGTCCGTCAGCTCGACGCACTGATCCAAACTGCCGTGATTATGTATCATTCGGTAGCCCTTAAAGTGTAGAATTGCCATCACAAATCAATTTTTGAAGAAAAAGATAAATTTGAAAGAAAACTTTCGAACACTGTAACATACAAAGTCTATGGGAAAAGCTAAGAACCCACCACTGCTGAACTGACCACCCCATCACTGTCTCAACAGCCAACAGGCTTTTTTGACAGTCTCGCTGCAGCTGGATGGAAGTTTACGTAAAGATAATATTCCATCGTCTTAATGTATATGTCTCATCACAATTTAGTTTTGGGAAAGAAAATAAAACGAAAGAAAGAAGACAAAATGGCCGCGAAGATTCTGCGACTGTGGGCGGTTCTAAAGTCTGTTTTTCAAAACGTACCTGACCCAGTGGTTTATTTACAGTACTTAGTTTTCGCTTAACTATCGCTGTGAAGTGCCTTCCCGGGCGGGCGCGATTGCTTTTCTTGCAGAACATCCTTTGAATTAAATCAAATTTGCTACGTTTTCGTTTTCAACAGAGAAGGCAAGGTTATGTTCGAGAAAAGCAAACGGGACAACTTGAAATATTCAAGATTTGCTTCGAGAAACAGTAAGCTGTTTGCTTCGCATCCTACGTGGTGTTAGGATCAAAGAGCGTCTGATACATATTATTAAGCAATCCGGCTGTTAAGGCAAATCATGTTTGGTTGGAAACGGTCAAACGGGTGGGATAGAATCGAATTGTACAGATACTGTGTAAGGTGTAAGGTGGGATGGTGCGCAAATTGTACAGATACTGTGTAAGGTGGAATGTTGCTTTGTACAGTAAAAAAAAGGAGAAATGAATTTTTCAGTTCGCTATATAGCATACTGGAAGGCGGAGCCGCAGGCGACGCCGAGCTGCGGCGCGAGCGGAGCAGCAAGGATGCAAGAATTTCGCGTAACAGTTCCCGCTTTTGAAAAAGAGTTAAAAGCGAAGTAGGAAACACAACGAAATGATTCTGTTGTTATTTAATTAAAAGTGCTTGGATGCGTTCCGTGGTCAAAGCAATAGTAAAAATGGAACAGCAACAGCAGTATAGCAATTGCTCTGTTAGTGCACTGACTGCTAAACTGGGATGCAAAAGGCAACAGTGTTGTTGGCGTTAAAACTGGGATTCCAAGTACAAGTAAACTGTTATCGATAGTCTACGTACGACTTTACAGCTTAAAAACGGAAAGGGAGAGCAACTTCTAACAAATTACAGAGTCCCTATGCATCAAGAGTACGAAATTTAAATGATTGGACAACTGATCTGGAAATAAAGCAATAGATGAGGTACCAAGGAGAAAATTTCTCCGCTTTACACAAAATTTTGCATTTCAGGTTAAGGTCATCTCTGCATTTAGAGTCTGCAGTCAATTAAAGCGACAGGCAAATTTTTCAGCAGAAATTATCGCCGTCTGTGGACTTTGGTATATTGTAGAATTTTACATTTCGTCCATAAAACCTACACTTTACCTGCAGGCTGCAGTCGTGCGTTTTAAGTTTTGCACTGATTTATGATTTGTCCATCGCATTAATTATTCCGCGCAATTTGCGCGGGGTCTGCTAGTACTCTGTATAATGCCCAGTCGGCATTCGGGCATTCTAAGCCGCCGCAAGCATTACATGCTTCATGACGTCACGCCAGAATTAAGGGACACACTCGGCCGGCCCTCCGCAGCGGGCGGGCGCTTAAAACTGGTAAATGCCACATTAATTACGACGGTACATCCGGTACTTCCGGTTGCCTGCAGCGTTTATGTTGACTACACGTGAACATAATCGTGATGTGCTTCACATGCTCGAATTATTGTGCATGCCGATGCCGCTAGCAATGCAGGTACCATTCTTACATAATAGACAACCATGTCGCGGCGTAGTGGGAGTCAAATTCAATAGCGCTTGTGATTTTCTGCAGACGATCAGCTGTTCCCTTCACATGTCTGCCAGAACCTGCGCTTTGTTTGTCCTCGCAGACTAAAGATACAATCAGCCATAACATTGGGTGTATTCACACTGTATTATACTTGGTTGAATCCCTTCTAGCTGGATTACTTAAAACAGTTATTAATACTTTATTATTTTATACGATGCCGGCTTTATATTGCTTCTGTGCGTTTCCGTGATTATATACAGATCAATAATAACACGGAAATTATGGCGGGATCGGGCGTGCTAACCTTGGTGTTCGACACCAACGTGCTGCTGAAGCCCGACGGTCTGGAGCTCTTCCAGGAAATCGCCGGCGAGCAATACGGCACTCTACCGGCATCCGTCGGCCTCATGGTGTCGCACATCGTCCTGATGGAGCTGCAGTACCACTCCGGCGAAAACCCGGAGACCATCCGCGCCGCCCGCGCCGCCTACCTGTACCTCACGCAACCGGGGCTTCCGGCGCGCGTCCGCGTCCAGAGCCAGTATTATTCGCAGCAGCTAGAAGCCGCGTTCTACCCGGACAACGGGCGGTACCGGCCGCGTAGCTACGGCTCCAAGAACGATGGTCTGGTTCTCCTGTCGTGCTTGGAGCTGTACTACAGCGCCGCCGGCGACGTCTGGCTGGTCAGTAATGATCAGCAGTTGGGCGCGCGGTGCGTGCGCAGTGGTCTGTTGTGTCTGTCGCTGCAGGGACTGAAAGCGGCTCGCGCCCTGCTCCACTACAACATCCGGCATCCGCTGGGCAACGACTACCATACGTGGCGCGGAGAAGGCCCAGAGGTCAAGAGGCCGGCGTGTCAGCCGCTGCAGGCCTGCATCGCGTTTCCCGGTGTACTGCGGTAACAAACAAACCACCTTGATGACTGTGTTATTAATATGGCGCATCGGATATTTCAATGATTTATAGTGGTTCTTTCACTGAACAATTCCTTGAGAATGTATTTATTTTTATGCAATAGCAATGTGTCGAAGACTGGTCATTTCCACCGGAAACTGCATGATCACTTTACCCACGCTCGGTAAGTACCGCAACTCAAGCTTTTGCCTCCATCTACCAGATTCCAAATCTGGTAGATTCTTTAGTTACTAGATTTCGTTGTCTGAGCTGGACGCTTTTTCCTTTCGCCCCGCAGCAAGGTGCTGCGGTGGCCTTTGATGTGATGTATATATGTGAGAGAGATAAAGTGTGCAGTGTGTTGGCGTTCAGTTTCCGTTTCTGTTCGCGCACAGGGGTGAACCAGCCGTTCATCCCCTGTTAGACTGGCTTCGCACAGAGTCTAGTTTACCAAACAATTCAGACTGCTGCTCAAATGTTTCAAACAACGCGCGCGATATCCGGCCACGGAAAGGCCGTATGCGATAGCGAACACCGCGAATTTGAAGCCGGTGTACCCTGAATTTAATTTAATAATGTCAGTTAAAATGCGTCGAGTGCGACCCATCCCGTAGATGTGGTCAACCGACTCAACAGCGTAAGCCGGAATCCTGTTCTTTCCGGGACGCTTGACGGCGATGGATGTAAGCTGGTCAGTGGAGCTAAACTTCCTTGAAGCGAGTGGTCAGTGTGAAAACGGTACGCGGTGACGAAGCGGACTGCATGTCTCTGTGACTCTTGTTTTTATATTAACTTTGTTGTTGAATATGTGTATAGGGCATAACAATAGGTAGTATACTGTACAGATATATAGAGACACATGTTAATCTCGGCCAACCGGTGTCCGGAATGTTGATCGCCGTCCGGAATCCTCATCCTCGGCTGCGAGCTGCCCATCAGCCGTAGGTACGTGCACTCTGTGGATGCACGAATTTCCTTAATTTGGAAAAAGTATATATATAGCAACCTTTATTGAGTTCCGTTCGCTGTTATGCGGCAAAAAACCCCTATTACAAATTAGGGGAAAAAGCACGCATAACCTATTTTTTAAAGTTTTGTAAACAAAACTTGTGCAACGGAATTGAAGGAGGGCTGGCATGTCGCATTGGCTGGATTGCGGTAGTTGACTGTGGTGACTGTACAACCTTAAAGACAGAGGGAAAGTGAAATATCAGCAGGAAAAGAGTCATCGTGAAAACGAAAGAGACGCAGTGCAGAGAGAGCGAGTAGTCGAGATTTAGATCATGGTGGATGCAGACACTATACCTGACTTCGACTCGCAGTTGATAAAACTAAGCTTTTGCAAATCAGATAATATCACTATAATCGATTTACTAGTATTATGGATGCAAAACCCAAACATAAAAATTTCACAAAAAGTTATAAAAACATCAACATTTTCCAGATTTAACTATCAGACCTTTGTACGGTACTAAAAATATGACTCCAGTAAGTTTTCGAAAAAAAATCAAATTTTTATTAGTTATGATTTATTAATTATTAAAACTATATGCACCTATTAAACGGTAAAAAGCTTAGCTGGACCAGGTGGGAGCCACAGTTCATCAGAAAAGCCACAGTTTATCAGAAGAGCCACAGTTTATCAGAATGTATACGCGGGCAGAACGTCAACGTGTACGACAAGTTGGGCAAATGCAATGATTAATAAAAAATAACACCGTTATAAAGAGCAGGGAATGGAGTAGCCGGCAGCGGTTAAATACTTCGCACAGAAAATTATTGCCTCTTCATACGAATAGTCGAGTACTAAACCGGAGCCAGACCGGCTCTCAGTTTGTAACTGTGTTTAGCACGTCGTTCTTTGCGCCCGGTGGCCGGTGTGTAATTAGCACTGGGCGAAAGAATAACAATTACATAGTACTTACTATTGCTAAGTCATTTAGCCACGCGAACCGCTACTCATTGGTGTGCGGCTGTACTCTGTAAGAATTTTCTCATTTTTCCCGTACGATGATATTATCATGATACGTGTTTAAATTTTTCTCCAGCCAGGTCTAAAATCCCATGCTAGACTGTCATCCAAGCCGGAATTGGGCCGAAATTAAATTAACAACAAATTGCAACTGCTACATTAATTACTACTTCCGGTACTTCCGGTACTCAATTCTGATACTTCCGGTTGCCTGCAGCATTCGTGTTGGCCACTGCATGTGAACAGATTCGGGACGTGCTTTACACGATTATTGGTGCTGTGTACGCCGCTGGCAATGCAGGTACATTCTTATTCCTTATATAATTATGCCGTTGCGGCGTTGGTGTCAAATTAAATAGCGCCTGGGTTTTCTACAGACGATCAGCTGTGCACTTCACATATTTTCTGCGTTGTACCTGTATAATAACACAAATCCGCAGCAACCGGCGTATTACTGTATATTGTACCTAATATTAACATTTAAAACTGAACTAGTATCCAACACAAACTGTGGCGATGCCGGTATCGTGAACAGGAGCGCTCTTCACGACAATTATTCAACGTCTTGATGATTATACACTGGTAATAAGAGCGTGATGATGGCGGGATCGAATGTGCTGACGCTGGTGTTCGACTCCAACGTGCTGATGAAAGCCGAGGGCCTGGAGCTGTTCCGGGAGCTGGCCGGACAGCAGAACGGCAGCCTGCCGGCATCCGTCGTCCTCATGGTGCCGCACATCGTGCTGATGGAGCTGCAGTACCACACCGGCGGCAGCCAAGAGACCATCCGTGCTGCCCGCGACGCCTACAATTACCTCACGGCATCGGGGCGTTCGGCGAGTGTACGCATCCAGAGCCAGTATCATTCGAAGGAACTGGAAAACGCCTTCTACCCGGACAATGGACCGGCCCCGGACCGGGTCCGCATCCCGGACCGAACCCGAGCCGCGGACCAGAGTCGGCGCTACGGCTCCAAGAACGACGGCCTGGTTCTGCTGCTGTGCCTGGAACTATACCACAGCGCCGCAGGTGAAGTCTGGCTAATCAGCAATGATCATGATCGGCAGTTGAGCGCACGGTGTGTGCGCAGCGGCTTATTCTGTCTGGCGCTCAACGGGCTGAAAGAGGCGCGCACGCTGCAGCCGTATAATATCCGGCGGCCGTTGGGCGACGACTACCATGCGTGGCGGGGGGAAGGGCCGAAGGTCAGGAAGCCGGCGTGCCAGCCGCTGCAGGCCAGCATCGCCTTCCCCGGCGCCGGCAGCATCCGCTTCACGGCGTCCGACCCGGCAAAGCGGGCGGACGCCTACCGGCGCATTGTGGAGGCGCGGATGGCGGCCCAGTTGCATGGCCGGACGGCAGAGGGTGATGCCGATACGGTGGAGAGGGAGCCGGCGTGCCAGCAGTGCGGATGCGGCATCAGCGCCTGGCATCGGGTGGAGCGCGAGCAGGATTTGCGGTGGTACGGCATCCAGCTGTTTCTTGCCGGCCTGCTCATTGGCTTCGTCGGCTTCTTGTGTTTGGCGATTAGTATTGCGACGGGAAGCAGCAAGCCACGATGATGTTGTAAATCATGGATGTTATAGGCAGTTTTACGATATAGTGCGTGGTTTTCGTTTTCCTAATCCGAATTTCTCATATTGATGGTGAAGGCTCCTCATGCCACTTTTGACTGTGCAAGCCACCATTCGCTTTGTTTCTAAATTTTAATTATTCTTAGGCTGTGTATTCCGTAACGCGCAAGCTTGTCCCGAAATTTCTGTCGATATCGTATTAAAAGTTGCGCTATGAATGATTCTTACTACACGACGTCTGTCGCAAATACCAATTTATTCCTCTCAGGATTTAAGATAATAATACGTATTATAAAGGAGAAATGTTCATATTTTATAAATTATTTATATCGATAGTTTATAAGGTAGCTCGATATACGTACATTGTACACTGTATATTTGGCATCCATAGGCTCATAGCAAATGCAGGCAAAGCGTAAACGTCCGACCCGCACGAACACGGTCACTACGGCACGAAGAGCGACGGACTGGTGCTGGGTGTTGTATAATACGCTACGTTCACTGCAGGCCGCGGCTTACCAATAATAATATTTAATTTTTAAAGAATACGTGCAGCCAAGGATTACAGCTGCAACTGCTGCGCTAATTATTACTGTATTACTGTGCGTCTGCTATTTCCGGTTCATATGGGCGGAGCGGTATCGTTCGCTGCAGGCCAGCATCGCTTTTCCTGGCGCAGGGCAGTATCGGCTTCCCGGCGTCGGACTTTGTAAAGCGGGCGGACGCCTACCGGCGCACCGCGGCCGGACCTGCGGAGGGACGTCCAGGAGGTGTGAGCAGAAGCAGCGCACGTCGATACGATGGAGGCGCAGCCGGCGTGCGAGCAGTGCGGATGCGGGATCAGCGCCTGGCGTCGATGTGCAACGCAAGGAGAAGCTGCGCTCCTATGGAATCCACCTGTTTTCTCCGGGTGTCCTCGTTTTCGTGGGCTTCTTGTGTTTTGTTGCCTTTCTTCCGAATAATTACGGCAGATACTATGAAGCTTACATTAACGATATTTTATAGGTATTTAGTTTGTCAGTAGTGTAGCACAGTAGCCCTCAATCATTTTCTTGGGGTATCGGTACTGCACAGGCAGCACAGCCAAGTTAATGCTTTATACGTATGATTGACTGTACGAGTACAAACAAAGTTAAAACTGCTCAACCGCAAAATCATTCTAATACTGTATAAACATGTGCCAGCCGCGTCGTATGCGTACTGTGTATTTATATCCCAGAGCTTAAGTATATTACGCATTTGAATAACATTCGCAATAAATAAATTAATTTTATAAGCCAGTAAATATGCACACTAAATAATTTTTCGTTCGGCAAAAGCCATTATGCAGTGACTTCAAAACAACATCAGCGGCCACACTACTTAAAATGGTCGAAATTTACGTACGCTATGCACTTTTAAATTTTTTTTAAAATAATACTAATAACAATCCTAATACTAATAATAATCCTTGTACGAGTCTCCGAGCAAGCAAAGCGATCAAGAAAACATGACAAAATTTCCAGAAAAACAAAAACACGGCCCGGAATGACTCGATTCGAATACTGGTCATTTCCACCGGAAATGAATTATCTCTTTCTCTACGCTAGGCGATTACCGCGACAAAAGCTGTTGCCTGTACATTAAGCCGATACCGGGACTATTGCTGTACCAGTATCATTACTAGAGAAGTAATATACGTGACTAAGCAGAATCGCTGGGCCACCTGGCCGCATGCAGCCCCACCGAAATGATTAAATATTCAAGGTGTGCGCAGTGTAAACACCACGCGTACATTTGCACGATTGACTGGCAATCAACTGTGCTGGAATGCGTAATGCCGTACACTCCAACTGACTGTACCCTGTGCAGCGCGTATACATCAGCCGCGGTTAGGGCAGGAAGAGCGGGTATGCGCACGCTAACCACGGCCGGAAATTAAACTGGATTGTACCAGCCGGCATATGCATGCGCCACTGCAGCCGGCACTCGTACACGTACGTATCGGTATCGTACGAAGCCGATACGGTGCAGGATTAGACAGTGCAGCAGCCCGTCGATACTCGCCGTGTAATCAGCCACGCAGCGGCCTATATAAGCCGTCAGCAGCGTCGCAGCACTCGCTGCTTGGGCCCGTGGAAACGCAGCCGGATTACGTTGGGCTGCTGCTGTTGCTCCGCAATTCCAACCTGCAGCACGGCAGCAGCGGCGCGGACCATCTCCGCGGACCTGCGGATCCCTCGGCGACGTCCTCCCGGACAGCCAACGGCCACCGTGTGAACCCGGCATCTGCTCTCCGTGCTCCTGTTCTCGTCTGGTCTTTTACTCCGCTCCATTTCCGCACCACCCATCATATCTATCTTCACCTGCTGTTCTGGGAATTCGACGATAAACAATCCACCGTCGATTCATCCGGCTCCGATTTAATCCTCACCGTGTACTTCCGGTAAGTGAGTTCCTTTTTGCATTCCCACACAGTGGATTAACGGGCAGTGTATTGTCCCGGCTATTCTTGGGAATATTATCCCGGTTAGCGCCATTGTTGGGAGAAAGTGTTTGGCCGCATTCGGCAATTAATAGGCTTAGCGTTAAGGAATCAGGAGACAGGGAGTGGGTGGGGGATTAATTAGCGCTGCTCCGATTACGCGCCCAGCGTCGCCAGCTGACCTGCTTTTTAACAACTCGACCTTAATAGTTTTTCCGCTGGCAAAATGCCCCGTTGTATTTAGGAGTACATATACTCGTATTTATGGGTGTTTGCGGTGCGGCACGTCCGTCCAGATTTATGGGTTTGTTAAACTTGTCAAAGCCGATTTATTGCTATATATAAATGACTCACTTCTAGGATGATTATTTGTCTAGTAACAATTATTCGCAAACCGCAATCACAACAGGAACATTTTCAGTGAAACATTTTATTTATTTATCGCACAATAATCGGAAAATTATTCGGTAATAAGGGTCAATCATTTTTGTATGAAATGGGGTTAAATGAGCCGGGGTGTTATTAAATGGGATAAAAATATTTTAATGGTCGGCTTTTATCCTAATTGAAAACAAGCCTATTAAAATGGTAAAAACAGCCCGATTACGTCAGTTAAACGAGTGGTTTCCAGCCGTTTTGCAAACAGCCCGATTAAGGCAATTAAAAGATTGGTTTGCAGCCGCTTGCACGGATGACGCTTATTAAGCCAGGTGGGCGTAATTGTGCAGGGATGCGTTGGGGCTAATTACAGCGCCGTGTTGTTGCCTGCACGGCGTAATGGGGAATCAAGTGGCTGGTTGTGCTGCTGCTGTGGATGGCAGTGAGGCGTGCATTATGGCCGTGTTGTTGAGTGGGCGCTGTATAGGCAATGACAGTGGGCAGTGGGTAAGTAGGCCGAGAGTGTTGTTGTTGGCCGGCTAAGGAGGCCGGTTACAGCTGAGAGTAAGTGTAAGGTAGCTGTTTTGACGCTGCCACAGGACAGGACAGGCCGCTGACCCTGTAGTTATGCACGCAGCGGTCACTGGCCAGTGGACACAGGCGCAGACAGGACGCCGGTCAACGACCGGATATATGTATGGCTCACACAGTGGTACAGCCAGTCACGCAGGCTGGACAGAGAGACTGGCGCACAAAGCCGTTGAGACTGGGCAGACAGCGGCACGGTATAGCCGTACGTGCAAGACTGGACAAAGAGAGCGAGAGTTAGCCACTCAAACTGGACAGAGAGAGCGACAGTTAGCCACTCAGACTGGACAGAGCCAGACAGAGAAAACACATGGGCCACTGACCGACACTGTGCCAGCACAACACAACACCGCTAACCTACTTCCCACTGCCCAGTTCACTTCAGGACAGGACGGCGCGGTCAGTTAAGGCCAGATCGATAATTGCATAATGATAAGGACACTCAGCGCGGCTCATCTGGCGTCGCCTCGTTGTTATTTAATTGTTATTGTACGGACGATAATTAACTGATTAAAATTCGCATTACTTTTTTAAATCATTTTTCACAGGGAAATTTCTTACTAACATATTTATTATAAATTTATATTGATTGACAATTCAGATTACAGACAGGGGAAAATTCCCCTCGTCTCGTCTAGACGTTGAAGTAGCGATGGCAATCTGGTAGTCGATGGAACAGAGAGTGCATTTCGGTGAAAAATGCCGATAATGCGGCGACAGCGCGGCCGCCAGCCTTAGCGCTAAGTGCGCGCGGTTTATCTTACAAGAGTTTTTTTGCCTCGCTCGCCGTGCGCGCGCCCACAGCTGCGAGAGAATGCGGAATTGAAGTGGAGGAATGGGCCGGATGGTTTGTTGACGAGGGTGCGCGTAGGAGCCAGTGGGAAAATCAATAGCAAACAGCAAAGGTTAATGCATTCCCGGCATCATTCTCCCTGCGCCCGTTCCCGCCGCGCAGTCACGCGCTGCCGGGGCGTAGCGCGCCGAGCCGTCCATATATCAAACCTGTTTACGCTGTTGCTCAACGGCGAGTTTTTTCTAAACAGCCGGGTACAGTGAAGCATCAAATTCCCAGTCAGCCAGATGCGTATCCGCATTACGCTTCTTTTCAACACGGTTTTTGTGTGCAACCAGCGCAGCCTGAGGTTTAACACATTCAGCATTAAGCGCTAAATGCCGTTGTATATAATAATCCCGCGTTAACCGGTTGGGTGAGAGAAAAAGGCCATTGCCAGCGCAGCACTTGTTCCTCCACTTTTTCCCTCGCGATGGCGCAGCAGAATTCGGTGCCGGTTTATAGAGAACACATATGTACAGCCGGATGGATGCATGACGAAAGAAAACATGTTATTCTCCGCCGCTGCACTTTCCTTTCTTCCCGCCGTTGTAGACGCAGTGAACAACCTCTCCGTCGCGGCGCAGCACTTAGCGCTGCAGTAGCCAAAACCGGCTTCCATTGCGCGCGGCCGTTTCACGGTCACTTTTTCGGCTTCCCTCGGCAGTGTCTCGCGCTGAGCAAAAAATTGTTTTCATTGCGTGTACGTGTCTGTGCTCGGCTGCACCGGCAACTCGAAACAGCAGTCAGTCAAATAACGTCCATTTCCCCCTTGTTAAACCAACCGCTGGGAAATTAAATTCACATTTATGCACTCCATTTTTAACAGCGCTGCGAGCGCCCATTATACATACTGTCTGTTTAATTTCTGCATAATCTCAAATAAAAGAATAAATTATTTTTCTTAATACGCAAAATACGTATTTAAATTCGCCAAATAATTTTTCTCTTGATTTTTGCGGCCGCAAATTGCTGATACTTGTAGAGCGCAGAATAACCCACGGGAAAATTAATTGCACTGTCGATAAACCGATCGGCGAAAAACATAATGTAATTGCTAGGAAATTAATTATTTAACCGCGGTATTGACGTGTTCAACACCGGCATTTATCGCATTTGCGTGTGTAGTTAGGTAATGTAAAAGCGGCCGAGCACTTAGCGCAGGTGCTGCACTCAATTATTCACCGGCAGCTTTTCCATTTTCCATTTGGACGTAGCTCCGAGCGGAAGTTGAGGCCGGGATAGATCGAATGGCGGGGCGCAGTTAGGCCCACGCGGCGCACCGGAAATCGATGCAGTTGCCGGTGCGCGCGCGGCCGCTCGTTATACAATACACTTTACCCGGCGCTGTACTTTCTACCTGGCGCGATGGATCCATTGTTGGCTGGCGAGAAAAGTAGAAAGTAGTCAGAAAGGAACCTCACGGCAGGCAATTAGGCCGCGGCATTGTGTGTGTACACAGTCCCCTGTATATGTGTATATACGTGTGTGTACACTCGGCAAACACACTGCGCATCGATTTCTGCTGAGTGAACACGCGCTGTTTGTTCTCCAGGTCCCGCGCACGCAGTTCCGGGAGGGAGCCAACCGGGATGACCTTTCCATTTCCGGTGGCAGTGCAACGGCCGCCTCGCTTCGCTCGCCATTACTGTGCACCCTCGCCGGACGACGACAGGAGCAGCGGAGGAAGCTTGCTCAACTAATCTCTGACCTCCGCGGCGCGGCACGCGCTCCGGAACATCCACAGCCAACACGATTCCAACCGCCGCGTCCGCTACAAGAAAATCCTATAAATAATACTGTATTTTACTCCGCCGTTTTCCGCTTCTGTCCTTTTTGTTTGTTGTTGATCGCGTAAATTATTAATTTAAATTATATAGTTAATGTGTCGGTGTCGGTCTTGTGATTCATGCTAATCAGTTAAACTCTGGCAGCCTCGCGGGGCGGTCGGGGGGAGAGAATGCACGTCCCGGTCAATTTTTTGTACAGAAGCGGCATTTTACGCGGTGTCGTTGTGTGCTTCATTACGTTGTGCGTGGTGAACGGTGAGAGCGCTTCTTAGTCATTAGTTTTTGTTTTAATTACGTTGCGTTGTTGATGGTGTTCCTTGCAACCTTTCCTTTGTTGACCATTTGATTATAACTGGCGATCTTCACGCTGATAAATAATTTGCGTTAAATTTGTGTACGCTCATTCTCCGGTTGATGCTCGTGTTTTTCCCTAATGGAAAACACTTTTCCTTAATGGCGTTTAACGTGTCGTTGCTTAAGCGATTAAACTGAAAATTCCTCAACATACGCCATTATTCTAACTGGATCGTTATTCAGCTCGATGATGGGGAAATTTGGCCGGAAGCGTCGATAACGGCTGGAAATAAGCAGCACTCACAATACACCACGTAATGCTATTAAGGCGCATATCGATGGCGGACAAAAGGGCCGTTTGACGAATAATCGGGCTGATTTCCGTTCTTGGCAGCCGGAGAAAATATGCAGTGCAATTACAGAAGAAACGCAGACTATAAAAATGTATAAAGTATCGATAAGCGATAAGCAGCGCGCGGCCATTGTTTACCTTCACGGCAATGTTGGCCCTGGCGATCGATACGAGTGAAGAGATTGTGTTGCGTTGCCAGCAGCACGCGGATTAAGTAAACAGAGCGTTCATCAAGTTGCGCCGGAAACAACCAACATGCGCGCCACGATAGCGCCGACGCTAAAGGTCACCACGCGATAACATTCATTAAGACGAGTTTTGACAGGAAAATTGTTACCTATAATTTGTTATGAACGGTGCATTATTAGGAAATTAGCGCGATTATCAGCGTATATAGGTGCAAAGGTCAAAGGGCAAATGACAGGATTTACGTAGCGTGGCGTGCGGGAATTATTTATCATTACATGCATAAAGACGCACAGTTGTGTTGCTCTGCGTGTTAAGAAAACATTGAGGAATGCGGAGGGATTACAAGGAAAAACAGGCAGCAGGAGAAAAGCCGATTGTGTGTAGTGCGCATGTGTAATCGGCTGGAGTGGTTGTCCCGCGGGAGTGTAGGCACTGTACGGGCCGCGCGACGGGGATTATGTCAGAGATTAGTTGCGGGATCATTGTTTCGCGCTTTCCCCGAACTCTGCGGCATCGAGGCCGAGGAAGTCCAGAGCGTTCTTGTACAGCAGTTGCTCCTGCACCAATAATTATCAAATATTCATGTTTATTCATCCATTTCATCATCGGTATTCACACAAACAAGGAACAGTGCCGATAAATACCGCTCTACACATCAAATTCTAGTGATCCTTCAGTCACAATTTTATATACAATATCCGTATATTTCTAAATAATTAGATACATGTATTTATAAATATAATTAAAATGTAATTAAAACGTATATATATAATTATATATATATAAAAATGTTTATATATTAATAAATGTACATAAGTATATACAGTATATAGATGTTTAATAATAAATGCATATAAATATATATAATCTAATAAATGCATATATATATATATATATATATATATATATATATATATATATAAAATGTATATGTATTTAGAATTAAAATGTGTGTATATATATATTTATAAATGCAGTAAAATAAAGGATAAAATTAAATAAAAACAATAAATAAAATAATAAAATTAAAGATATTTTTGCCGCTTATACCGTGACTTGTGGCGGGAAGCCGGTGTCCACGATAAGCTGTCCCGGCTGGTCTTCGCCGAGCGGAAAAGGATAGTCGGTGCCCAGGACGACGCGAGCGCTACCCAGTTTCCCGACGAGGAGGCGCAGGGCGTCGGCGTCGTGGACGAGGGAGTCGGCCCAGAAGCGGCCCAGGAAGTGCCGCGGCGGCTGACTGCAGGCCACGGCGCAGAGGTCCGGCGGGTGTCGTAGCCGTGCTGCAGCCGGCCGCAGGTGTACGGGAAGGAGCCGGCGCCGTGCGCGAAACACAACTGCGAGACAACGTCGTCAGGAAAATATATATGTTCGGGACAGATGATGTGTACCTTCAGTTTAGGAAAAGCTTCCAGGACGCCGCCGAAGATCAGGGAGCCGATGGCCAGCGTGGTCTCCGTTGGCATTCCTGCCAATTAAATACAACGTAGTACCGTTTTTTTTTAGCTAATTTTGTTCTACAGTAGGTGGGTATTACGTAAAATAATTTAAAATATTTAAAATATTCATATTATAAACTAATTTACAAATAATTAAAATAATAATTAAAATGATAATTTTTATTATGACGCCAGTGTACCGATAAGCCAGGGGAAGAAGTATTTGCCCATGCGCTTGCTGTCCATGTCCCAGGGATGCACGAAGATGGCGCAGTCCAGCTCTTCAGCAGCCTAGGCAAATAAACATTCATAACAGAAAATATTTTTCCCACCGTTCTCTCTTCTCGCGAGCGCTTTTACCCCTTTTGCGATTATAGTAAATGAACGTGATTTAGTATTTTCACATGTTAACGACTTATAAAACCGACCCACTGCGAGAATTCGTATTGTCGGGACTCTGATCATTTGTGCGGTGTAAAACTAATGATAAACTGACTTGTTGTGGAAAAAAGTCGAATCTTTATCATTGCTGATCAAGCTAAATAATTTTTTGGTAAAAATGAATTTTATCTTCATTTTTCGCTCTATGCAACCAAATTTTAATTTGATTTTCATGGTCACCTGTACATACAGATATGGAGTTCCGAGACAACGGTGCCACTGCACTGCAATATTTCCTAGTTATTATGGAATGCTGGCTAGTGGCTAACGGCTACTCATGATACATGTAGTAGCGATTTTCTTGTGATATCCATAATATATAACACGTACATATACATAGATTCCGACAGTGTACAGTGCACTGTACACTTGTATAAATGCAGGAAACAGAAGCACATTGTACTTGCTTGTGATACTTAGGTCGTCTACGGACGATTTCTCGCCTCCACGTTTATCTGGTGATTGACCAGAAGCCGGCCCAGCCAGCGTTCGTCACATCGCTGACCGGCGCAAGGCTCCATCAGTGTGGCATAGAACAGCTTAGCGGTAAAGCTAAGCGTAATTCTGCCGCTGCCCGCTTCCGTGCAGTGTCGTACCTGGAAGAAGGGCCGCAGTTCCGGCGCGTCGAGATTCCATTCGTTGACGTGCGAGCCGATCTGGATGCCGGGAAATTTCAGTTCCTGTCGCCCAGTGACACGACACTGTTTAATTATTCATATAGAAGTGTACAGATATCGGTAGAAAAATAATTTTAATAAGAATTATGTGAATTAAAGAAAATTAGTTGTGATGAAATTTTTATCTACATGGCGACAGCGGCGCATCTCCTGGATGGCCAACGCCGGTGCCTGCAGCGGCACGGTGCCCAGGCCGACGAAGCGGCGCGGATGCTGGCGCACCACGTCGGCGATGTGGTCGTTGAGGAAGCGCGACAGATCCAGGCAGTCCTCCGCTTTCGCCTATATATAAATCCCCCAAATGACGCGATTTATTGATGAAAATATATTGCACGAATGGAATAGATACCCAGTAGCTGAACATGACGGGCACGGTGGACAGCGCCTGCACCGTCACCCCGAGGCGGTCCATGTCGCGCAGCCGGGCGGCGGGGTTCCAGCAATTTTCTTCTACCTTGCGGAAGAACTTGCCGTCCTGGTACATGCTGGCCGTGGGCGGTTGGCCCTCTTCCGCCGGATCGGGCTGCATCTGCACCCAGCCGCCGTAGCCGTACTTCTGCAAAAGCGATGCACGGTTTAATATGGCAATTCAGTTGCAGCACTTTCGGAGCAGAGCCTACTTGTTTCAAATCCGGCCACGTTGGCGGCAGAATGTGATTGTGCACGTCAATTTTCATGGCCAACTAAATATTCCCTGGTCAGCGCTCGCAGTCCGAATACCGAACGGCCAGATTGCACGACGTATATACAGTACTGTATTTATGAGATATTATTCTTAAAAGACACAAATTAGCGAAATGTTTCCGTTAGTATAGCCAGTAGCAGTATATGGCCGCGTTTCTCAAGAGCGTTTGATTAGCAAATCGCGGAGCTTATGGAAGGTGGTTAATTGTGGATAGTATAGTGGACAAGTTCGCTTGTCCTATTTTCGCTGCAGCTGCCGGTTAATCGCCAAGAGAGATCTCAGTTTTGGTTTAGTCTGCTTGGTCGAAAGACGTGTGCCTTGATTCACCGTCGATGCTATCTGAACAGCGAGTTTAAAGTACGTTTTTGCTGCACGTGCACAAGCCGGCAGAAGACGAACTCGCATACACCTGTAATAAGTAAGTGCCGGCAGGAGCCTACTCGTACAGATACAGCTTAACACCAGTCGTACTACAATACGCGTACGGTAATAAAAATTAATGCACATCATTGACTGAACCATGAACCGCAGGCAAAACTTGTAAAGTAGTACAAGCGTAAATCAACATGATACACAGAGCAGGTTGTACAACTCGTACTGCATAGCACTATCATAATACTAGTGGTGGTTGATAAACCACATTATTGCACGAGCGCGAGCGCCAATACCACTGGGAATGGTATTGGGATTGTGGAATTGGAAAAGCGTGACGTACGCTCTTCGTGGCTTCAGACAAATTTTATGCTCTTGACGAAGACTTATTGCAGCACCTCGCGCTTCGCGCTCGGTGCAAAATATCTGTAATGACTGTATTATTATTCTAGTTGTTTTCTGACATAACTCCATACTTCTTACAGTACTTACTTTCCCAGTTCTTCCAGGCCTGCTTAAACCGGTGGACCGCTAACAACGTCCTTCACTCCAGATGGGCACACTCCGTCACAGGCAACACAGTCACGTCGGCAGGTCGGCTGCCAGTTTGCTATGACAACAAAATCATTCGATCAGATGAACATCCCAATCGTTCATAAACTAATCAACGTATATTGTCGCATACTCGAGCTGCATCACCTGCTTTATTTTATTCACGCCAAATTCGGCATGACGAATTCGAAGATACTAACCAGCTTTACTAGAGTAGTGATGTATGTGCAACATTATCATAATGAATATCGTAATTCTTTGACAAGTTAAGTCTGCCGTACGTTAATGGCATGGAATACTCGATTAATCGTACAACATTTTAACCGGAAGAACACGAAGCGCAGCGACTGTCTGAGGATGCCGGCGTCAGTGTTACCTGAACTGTCAAATTGCATATTTGTTCTGACAGCATTGCCCACTTTTATCCGCGGACATGAATTAATGCAGAACGGGTCTGCATTTACTCGTATATATCGATCTCATCCAGTGCAGCGAAGGGCGTAAAGTGGACGTAGGCCGACTGGACGAACCATTCGTGGTTGCGGGAATCAGGGCGCATCCAGCAGTCGACCCGCGCCGTCCGGTTGCTGGTCATCTTTCCCATGCCGATGGTCAGCGTGTTAGCGCAGATGGGCTGGGCCGCTCCGCGCTCGGACTCACTGTCGCGGAAGCGGCCATACCGCAGACCGGGTATGTGCGAGGTTTCAGCGATGGTCTGCAGGTAGCGATAGGGCGCCACCAGGAACCGTCCGTCGAACTTCCAGATGAAGTGGGCGCGGGAGCCCGTCTGGCTGCAGTCGACGCGCCCGCTGCACGTCATGGAGAAGCTCAGCAGCGGCGTGGACACGTTGCGCATGGGCTCCGTGAAGTCGTCTTCCACGCGCAGTCGCAGCTGCAGCTCGAACTGCCGGAGGACGCAAAGGTCACCGTTGCAGGGGAAGAGACACTCCACCGTCCCGGCGGCCTCGCGGGTCACGTTGTGGATGAGGAGGGAGCTGGTGTTGGCGCTGGACGTCGGCCGGTAATAGTGACCTTTAGGAGACCGCGGAATCCCGTCGTCGTGGACGGTGGCGTTGTTGTGCCGCCAGAGGATCCGCTGCGCTGCGGCGTCGCAAGAGAACCTCGCCACAGCTCCCAGTGGGACACGCACTATATGGGTCGCAGGGAACGCACCGGCAGCGGCGTTCTTGAAGGTGGGCAGGATGACGACGTTGTCGGTCATGCTGGCTTCAGCCTGCTGCACCGCCAGCGCGGCGCGCTGAACTGCAAAGAAAGGGCATCAGGTGATACACCATCTTGAGGGGAAGGTCACGTGGGAACTTACGTGTTGTCAGCCGTGGTTCAGAGCTGTCGCCAAACACCATGCAATTCGGCACAGTTGCCAGCATTACCACTAAGAGTACACTGTAGTGCATGCTGTCCGTCATCGTCCTGTAGAATATGTTCAACCAATTTCGCGTATTGACTCCCCTGGACCACTGCACAACACGACCACTACTTTCAGCTGTCGCTCATGCCACCAGCATTTCGACTGGCTCTACACGGTATTGTACATACGCACTTGGTGCTGCAGTTGAACGCAAAATTACCAGGACATTTCTTGTCAGCGCAATCCGGCCAGTATGGCTGGTTTAAGCACCAACAGTAGCATTGATCGTCTCCCTGACATTTCGGCCGCATGACATTTCGGCCGCATGACAATTCGGCCGCCCCGTTCAGTTCGGGCGTTAGAAAACCTAAGAAGAATCTAAGAAACCTTAGAAAAGCTAAGAAAACCTAAGTATCCTAAAAAAACTTAAGAAAACCAAAAACCTGAGAAAATTTAAGAAACCTGAGAAAACCCAACAAACCTCCAATTCGGGCGTAAGAAAACCAAAGAAACCTAAGAAAACCTAAGAATCCTAAGAAAACATAAGAAAACTAAAAACCTGAGCAAATTTAAGAAACCTAAGAAAACCTAAGAATCCTAAGAAAACATAAGAATAAAACCTAAGAAACCATAAGAAAACCCTCAAATTCAAGTAAGAAAACCTCAGAAATTTAAGAAAACCTAAGAATCCTAAGAAAACCTAAGAAAACCAAAAACCTGAGAAAATTTAAGAAACCTAAGAAAACCAAAAAAACCCTCAATTCGGTGTAAGAAAACCTAAGAAAAGCTGAGAAAACCTTAAAAACCTAAGAAAAATCTAAAAAATATCAGGCGGCCGAAATGTCAGGCGGCCGAAGTGTCATGCGGCCGAAATGGCAGGATACCCATTGAACTGCGTCGCTGGCTTCGTTGCAGCTCGGCTGCTTGGCAACTGATTAATTTGGTAGGAGTGTGAGGTACGTACCGTAGACAAGTGTGCTCTACTCTACGCCAATGCATCCAGTGTAGACTGTAGAGTAGATAAAATCGAGCGTTTTCTTTTACTGTACTGTACTTACTTAACATTTTAATACATAAGTGAGGTACTTTTAGTAATTTTTAGTAACTTTTGTTAACCTTTTAGTGATTTTTATTACATTTCCATATTCGATCAAATACCGGCTACCTCATTAATTTTACTTAAGTTCCCAAAAGAAATTCTACGAAGTGTACAAATTATCAGGAAAACTAGCGTTACTGTGCCCTATTTACTGCTTCGCGCTTACAGCAGTCGAAAGGTTACCAATGGGCTTGTATTTATACGCGTATCACAGCAAATTAATAGTACGAAAGTAGCAGACCCTGTTAAACATTTTTGTGTGGTGTTAGCGATTTCTCTTTTGGCTAGCGATAACGGTTTAAAACTAATTATGGAAACTACGTTTGTCAAAAAAATAGATTTCCGGTATATAGAAATGCAATCTAACCGATAGCGTACTCAGTCAAGGCCTGATACGTATACAATAGTATTAAATGTATGGTGCCAGACTACCAATGTCATTTTCGGAGCTTTTTCCAAATTCCACTAACATTGCGAGGTTTTTAATCGCACCCAGATCGTGTAGGGTATGATTACGGCATCCACATGTCCTCGTATGCCAAGAGAACTGCGAAATGTTCTGGTTCTTTCATGCGTTTTTATTCTGGAATATCTACATATATTCGTTCATACGCAGATGCAGGCTAGTCTGATTAAACGTTCTTTTGTGTAATTATAGCTGGTGATATATTTAGATTAGCAGCAAGTGCCGGTTGCTGGCAAACAACTGAAATAACACTGTTTTCAGATACAGTTATTATACTTATACTTATACTTATACTTATACTTTTTTTTTTTTACTTACGCTCTCTGCCATATTTTATTGCATAATATCAAAATCACAGCGGAGCTGCTAAGAAATACAACATCGGGCTCCAATCATTCCGATTAGCCAATCTAAACGCTAAAAAAACGTCTCTCGTTGTCTCGCATCTCATTAAATGTTCCGGAGGACAGACACAGCACTTCCGCGTTGTATTTCAATGCTGATTCTCTGACGCAAAAAACTCCTGACCGAGGGTTACCACTACTTTCAGCTGTCGCTCATGCCACCAGCATTCGACTGGCTCTACACGGTATTGTACATACGCACTTGTGCTGCAGCTGAACGCAAAATTACCAGGACATTTTGTCAGCGCAATCCGGCCAGTATGGCTGGTTTACACCAACAGTAGCATTGATCGTCTCCTGACATTTCGGCCGTGATGACATTTCGGCCGCATGATAACCCGGCCGCCCCGTTCAGTTCAAGAAAAACCTAAGAAGACCTAAGAAACCTTAGAAAAGCTAAGAAAACCTAAGGATCCTAAAAAACTTAAGAAAACCAAAAACCTGGAGAAAATTTAAGAAACCTGAGAAAACCCAACAAACCTCCACCCATGCGTAAGAAAACCAAAGAAACCTAAGAAAACTCTAAGAATCCTAAGAAAACATAAGAAACTAAAACCTGAGCAAATTTAAGAAACCTAAGAAAACCTAAGAACTTAAGAAAAATAAGAAAACTAAAAACCTGAGAAAATTTAAGAAACCTAAGAAAACCTAAGAATCCTAAGAAAACATAAGAAAACTAAAAACCTGAGCAAATTTAAGAAACCTAAGAAAACCAAAAAAACCCTCAATTCGGGCGTAAGAAAACCTCAGAAATTTAAGAAAACCTAAGAATCCTAAGAAAACCTAAGAAAACCAAAAACCTGAGAAAATTTAAGAAACCTAAAAAAACCAAAAAAACCTTCAATTAGGGTGTAAGAAAACCTAAGAAAAGCTGAGAAAACCTTAAAAACCTAAGAAAAATCTAAAAAATATCAGGCGGCCGAAATGTCAGGCGGCCGAAGTGTCATGCGGCCGAAATGGCAGGATACCCATTGAACTGGTGTCGCTGGCTCTGCTGCAGCTCGGCTGCTTGGCAACTGATTAATTTGGTAGGAGTGTGAGGTACGTACTGTAGATTAAGTGTGCTCTACTCTACGCCAATGCATCCAGTGTAGACTGTAGAGTAGATAAAATCGAGCGTTTTCTTTTACTGTACTGTACTTACTTAACATTTTAATACATAAGTGAGGTACTTTTAGTAATTTTTAGTAACTTTTGTTAACCTTTTAGTGATTTTTATTACATTTCCATATTCGATCAAATACCGGCTACTTCATTAATTTTACTTAAGTTCCCAAAAGAAATTCTACGAAGTGTACAAATTATCAGGAAAACTAGCGTTACTGTGCCCTATTTACTGCTTCGCGCTTACAGCAGTCGAAAGGTTACCAATGGGCTTGTATTTATACGCGTATCACAGCAAATTAATAGTACGAAAGTAGCAGACCCTGTTAAACATTTTTGTGTGGTGTTAGCGATTTCTCTTTTGGCTAGCGATAACGGTTTAAAACTAATTATGGAAAACTACGTTTGTCAAAAATAGATTTCCGGTATATAGAAATGCAATCTAACCGATAGCGCGTACTCAGTCAAGGCCTGATACGTATACAATAGTATTAAAATGTATGGTGCCAGACTACCAATGTCATTTTCGGAGCTTTTTCCAAATTCCACTAACATTGCGAGGTTTTTAATCGCACCCAGATCGTGTAGGGTATGATTACGGCATCCACATGTCCTCGTATGCCAAGAGAACTGCGAAATGTTCTGGTTCTTTCATGCGTTTTTATTCTGGAATATCTACATATATTCGTTCATACGCAGATACAGGCTAGTCTGATTAAACGTTCTTTTGTGTAATTATAGCTGGTGATATATTTAGATTAGCAGCAAGTGCCGGTTGCTGGCAAACAACTGAAATAACACTGTTTTCAGATACAGTTATTATACTTATACTTATACTTATACTTATACTTTTTTTTTTTACTTACGCTCTCTGCCATATTTTATTGCATAATAACAAAATCACAGCGGAGCTGCTAAGAAATACAACATCGGGCTCCAATCATTCCCGATTAGCCAATCTAAACGCTAAAAAAACGTCTTCGTTGTCTCGCATCTCATTAAATGTTCCGAGGACAGACACAGCACTTCCGCGTTGTATTTCAATGCTGATTCTCTGACGCAAAAACTCTCCCGACCGAGGGTTACCACTACATTCGCAAATCTTTCTTGACAGATCTTTGAAAAAATTTCTTTGTTAGTGGTCCAAATGTCCCCGTAGTTTCAAAAGCCAGAGGTTGTACTACGTATCGATCCGCGAGTCCATCGTACTTCCCTAACTTCTGATTCTCTCACTTCCGCTGCGCTTCCTGGGACACGGATGTATGGCCTATGTAGGTCTGGGCGAAGGTATCGGCAACAGTGACATCCCATACCATCGGCTTCCCATTGCGCCAAGGAAAGGCAGTAACTCCGTCCGGCCGCTTCCCATCTCCTCTATCCAGTCCCGGTGGCTCAAGCGTCGACGGCACTCTGGCGGAATTCAAGGCTCTTTTTGTTGCAGCGTTCTATAACGGGCAACGGAACCGGCTGATACTGCTTGAAATATTGCTAACCCAACGACTGAAGATACCACAGGAAATACAACGCTATATATACAGAACCGCTCGTACAGGAACAGGAAATACAAGAGGCGGGACAACCAAGCACATACTCGTACATACTAATACATGAGACAGGAATCCCCCGTTACACTCCCCTCTTACCAAACTGAAAACAGAATGTTTTCAGAGAAAAACAAACAAAAAACATATACAAAAAAAAAATTAATGCTTGCAAAAACATTAGAGAAATCACGCTCAGATTTTTTTGGGAGTACAAAACGTAGATTTAGTGCGAAAACATTATTAGCAAAACAAGAATTAAATATGGCAGGTAACATCCGAAGCGTTCCACGTAGGACGTTAATTGTTGTATCCTTCTGGTAAAGTCAATCCATCCAACGCTGAAGAATGACCACTTAGTCCACACAGATATGCGACATCCGGGTTCATGCTGGTCTTGGGAAAGGAAGTGTAATATCGATGTCCATGACGGCGGTACAACAGTAGCAAACCGTTACATACTTCTGGTTCTGAAAACTTGCACACATTGACGCAACCCTACTTATGTTTACACCTTTTTGTTTGTAATTTTGAATTAACGCGCGAATTTAATTTAAGGATTTATTGTTGAAAATTGCCGCAAATACAAAACTGAATATTCAAATAACACGAATCCAGAAACGCAAACTTTAAAAAAATTTTTGCCAAACTTTTTCAAAATGTAGTTATGTACTTATAATGTTACTCAATGAAGTGTATGACATTGTATGGCTAGATAATGTGGCGATGACTCATGAATGTACAATGACTGGAACAAGATGAGACAATGCGGATGTGAAAGGGAGAAAGACAAACGCACGAGAGAAATACTGCGTAAAGCGAGCGCATTACAATGGGAATGAATCCGAGTGATGAGTTGTGAGAATCAGCAAAGCAGACAGGATGGTGAGAGCAAGAGAGAATCAGACAAACTGGTCAGCCGAGTTGAAGCGCAGTTGGTCTAGCTGCTTGTTAGAAATCTGTACTCAACTAGGTGCTGTCTGTTTGTATGAAGTGATGCGAGGGGTATGATTGGATACATGAGAAGCGGTGAGAGCGAGACAAGATAAAAGATAGAGCGGGGAGAAAGCGAAAGAGAGGAGGGAGAAAGCTGGGAATTTTAGTCGCCTAATATCGGTGACGCGGAGAAAATGCTGGGAATGAGAGGACTTTGAAATTTTCTGTGAGGCTTAAACAGTGAGCTAAGGATAGGCGCCATAATTATGTGAATCTGTACAAAGAGTAGTGTACTCAGTGGGTGCACTTATGTTCGAAAATAAGTATTTTGTTTTTCGAATTTTGGAGAAATTTGATAAGGAATAAATAGTTTATTTTTATAACGGATGCTGCGATTGTTTCGGATCTGGCAAAACTCTGTTAGAATTGTTTGACTTCCGTTACTGAGAATGATTTTGCTTTTACACTGTGATTTATACATTAACGATACAAGTACAGAAAACGTTAAAAAACGAAACTGCATCAAAGAAGTTCAAAGTTCAGGGAAAAACGCAACTTCTATTATACCCGTACTATGGGAGGGGCGCCCATCTTTCCAGCACCGCGATATGCGCACGAAATATAAAATTTTTGTTAGACAGCTTTTACGTTTCAAAATAAACAAAATACTTACCTTCAGAAGCACTGTGCAGCAGCGATGATGGTAGACTACCAACAGGCGAGCTCGACCGGTGGAACACAGGTTTGCTATTGAGCATGAAGCAGTTTTTTTTTTCGAATTACGCGACTTTCCAAACAATTCATCATTAAAATCGTCAGATGTTTAGGGCTTGATTGAAAGAATTAAACCAACAGGGACCGTTAATAGGCGCACCTGGATGACGACACGATTACAATAGAGACAGAGGGCACGGACAAGGGCAAGCGTTTATAGCTGTGGCCCGTCTATATGATCTAGCATAAGATTACCACGCGAGAAAACAAGGGTGGGCGTTTATAGCACGCACCCGTATATGAGCGAATATAAATAGGTTGATGCTCGTGCAAAGCCCTTTTTGATAAGTTTTTGTTGATCTTCCTAAATTTCATTTTATGTCATTAGCGTTAATCAATTCAGCAGAAATACTTACTTGAGCTGCCGTGGTATACAGTGGTGACCAAGCTGCGGCTTCTGTTCGATGGATTATTATTTAAATTAATGCGCGAATTATTGTTACCATACACTTTGCACAACTTTAAAATCGAACTTATCAATTACTTTCTTTGCAGTCGATGCGAACATCCATAATTGCCTGTTTCCCAAAATCAATGCGCATATTGCCGTAGCATGAAATAACCGTACCAATATATGGGAATTTCGAATAATAATATCTATGTTTTTGTGCCAAGTATGCCGTCGTGTGTTGTGCGCGCTGACATTAGAATTAATGATCTTGTTTTCGCTGGAATCGAAAAGCTGGAATTTATTTTTAACTTTTAATGGCAGTACATCTGGATTTTGACGATTTTATTCAAAATTTTATAATTTAAGTTGACATTAACGATCTCTGACTGCCCAAAACAAGACGACAACATCTGGCATTTTATGTCATTAGCCGAACCAGCGGCGGAAATTAATGATAGATAAGATTTAAGCTGAGCTGCGCATATGCAATAACAATTTAAATATATCCCAAAATTCATTTCTGCACATTACATTCATTTACAATTACCGTTACCATCGCGAGGCTTTTCACATCTGGCCATCATCAAACAAATTTAATATCTCAGCGAATCAGCGCTGTCAACCTCAAAAATTTTCTCTCATCTGCCCTCTCCTCAATAACAATAAATACTGCTGCAGCCTACGAAATCAACGGGCAGGCATCACCAATAAAAACCATTATTCAAATACCAACAAAAGTTTCAAGGGCACATAAGTTTACAATACCGAAAAAAATTTTCACGTACGAATAACAATTAGACCAGAAAAGTTAAATCTTGCATCTCGAATACGCCGATTGTGCACTACCGGTGTCCTGAGATTCTGCAGACCTAAACTGTTGCGCCTGAGATGGTAATTTACCGGGTGTGTTAAAAGCCAGTTGCTGCGTCGTCGACGGATGCTGTGTTACACCGAATGACATCGGATAAGGATCTTCAGAATCTTGTTCTGCCTGTGCATACTGTGCCTGCGTAGAGTGGCCACCTCCAAACGGGCAAGCGTACGATAGATGATCATAGTTACCGCAATTAGAACATCCATTAACCTGGCCTGGCGCATCTGTGAGTCGAAGGGTTGACCGGTTCGCATTACGCGTCAAGTAATTCTGAGAAAGATCGTAACTGCCCTCTGATTCGTTATTTTCCTGTAAACACTTTATTTGTTCAGCAAGATGCTTCAGTCTTTCATCCAAACCTTTCATGAGGTTATGAGCGACAATCTCTATCTGATTAGAGCTGGGCGCTGTCGGTTGACTGTATAGCGACAAAAGATTTGACTGATCTGCAACATTATTGAACGCCTGATATGACGAATTTTGATTCTGCATTGCGAACTTGTATTGTTGTTTAACGGACACATCACGTAAACGATTGAAAAAATCGGCTACGGTTCTGGGGCTGTTAGTCACGAATGCCGGTTTAAATTCAAGGGGCAAGGCTTCGAAGAGACGAACTGTTTTTTCTGCTTCGGTAGCTGCGGGATTACTGGCTTCCACGTAATCAAGAACACGATGGACAAAAGTACGAGGATCTGTAAATGCTAATGTACGACAACCTTCATTCATAAGATCAAGTTCAAAACGAGTTTTTCCGAAAGCTGTTAAAAAATGAGATCGGAGGTCTGGCCATGTGATACCTGCTGGTTCTGCGGTATACCAGCGAAGAGCGTTATTCCGCAAACAGAGCGCAAAATGTTGGATTCTGTTAGCTGGTGTGAAGTTATTAGCAACGGCCATCGTCTCAAACTGTGTTATAAAGTCCTGAGCGTCTTCGTAAGAAAAACCACTACACTTCGGCAAATCACCCAGTTCGAGAGATATTGTACGGGTAACTCCAGCGGCATTTTGATTATTCAAAAACTTTAATAAATTCTGATGTGCAGTAGCGTTATTCTGCAGACTTTGCTGTATAGCGGCATTCTGCTGAGCAGCAGCGGCATTAACAGTGTTAAGAATATTCTGCAGTGTTTGCGGGTCTAAAGCCATGATACTGACTTGCTGGTAATTAGTGATTATCAATTACAGTCAACCTGTTAACTGCGTTAAGTTGACTTTGCAGTTATCAATTAGATTACTTCAAAAATGGCGCGTTATGGAATTCGAAAACAGCATTAGGTTAAAATCAGTTACAGCTGTTCTTTTTGGAAAAAAAAATTGGACGTGATACATAAGGACTTACCTGTTGGCTGTTGGAACAGGGAGGCGGAGGGGTAGCGGTGGTAAAAGTTAAAAGGGCACTGAAACTGTCGACTTGAAAAAAATTTCGTTCTCGGTATGCGACTCCAAGTATAACGGGCAACGGAACCGGCTGATACTGCTTGAAATATTGCTAACCCAACGACTGAAGATACCACAGGAAATACAACGCTATATATACAGAACCGCTCGTACAGGAACAGGAAATACAAGAGGCGGGACAACCAAGCACATACTCGTACATACTAATACATGAGACAGGAATCCCCCGTTACAGTTCAACACGGCATGAGTGCCATGTCTTCCTTTTGCCAGCTTACACACCAGGCCGTGGTGGCCGAGACTATCCACTGTGGATCCGCAGCGACATACGTGCGGTTGGCATACCGGTGCTCCCAATCGTCGAGCCACAGCTATGCGTAAATGGGCGTCCTCCAACATGTTACCAAAAATCGAGACAGATAATGCAGCTAACCATGCACGGGATTCCGATGAGGATGCAGCCAACAGACGAGCGCGGGTAATTACGTCGGCGTTCTCCACCATGCGGGTCGCAGTTCTAGTGTGCTGTACTGCTGTCCAAGCTGACTGAAAGCGGCGGTTTTCGGTTCTGGGGGCTTCGGTCGTGTAGCGACTCGTCCATACTTCTGTAAGGCGCGTACATTTTTCTCGGATAGAGTTACTGCGGACAATACTGTACACCACGTCGGCAACTCCGTGCAACGATGAGGCATAAGCAGCGAGCGCCACATCTGCTGCTTTCACCAAACCCAGCCCGCCGAACTTCGTAGGTAGCGCAGCTTGCTCCCATACCGTATCAGTCATTGCGACATTTGTCAGCTGTTCCGCCTTGGTCCGTATCGTTTCATCAAACTTCTGTAGCGCTTCCGGGTATTGCCAACATTCTGCAGTCCTAAGAAGGTATAACAACTTGGGCAGCGACAAGTAGTTTTTTAACAAAAATAAGGCTTGATGTGTAGGCAATGTACCGAGCTGGTCGGCCAGCACTTGTGCTTGACCGACCTTCTTCATCAACGCGCCCACAACTGCTTCCGGTAATAGAGAAGATCCCAGCAGCTCTAGCTTGTCCGGCGTGACGACGCGTATATCCGGTGCCACGTCCATAAACATCCGGACCACTTCCGCGCGCTCGTTGGCACTACCCCCGTCTATGTACAGTTCGCATTTCTTCGTGTTTAGTTCCAGACCAATTTCAGCGGCCGCTCCGCGGAGTTCCAACAATGCGTCGCGAACTGTTGGCGGGTTACCTGCACTGACACCGTCGTCTAGGTACCACAGATTAATGAGCGTTTTTAAAAGTGAACAAGGCGCCAAAGTTAGTAAACCATACAACATAGGAGCACTGGGGTCGCCCTGCTGCCCACCACTGTCCGACGAAAGGGTGATTCCAGTGCTAGGGGAAACGCAGAACAGCGTTGTGGCTTCTCCATACGCGGAACAAAAAAACCTATAATATTCGGGTATACTTATACTTATACTTATACTTATACTTATACTTATACTTATACTTATACTTATACTTATACTTATTATACAGTTATTATACTTATTGTTAGCTCGCCCGTACGCGTGCTAAAAGCTCCGACTGCGCCTGCAAAATGCATATATACAAATGTATTAAAAATGTACTGTGGATCCAATTCCTAGGATGGTGCCTTCGTTCTTATTACCTTCTAAAATTAAACCACAAAAAATCATTAAATTCCTAAAATTAACCAAGAATATTTTCCAATTGCCTGGTAATATTAATTCGTCTCCAGTAATAAGATTTAGGTAACTACTGTATACAGATATAATATATCATAGTTTGATACTGATAATAATAACAAAAGGAGAATGTTCCGGGCACCACGTTGTATAGCTGTATGATGTATCGGTATCCCAAAAAAAAACTATTCAACTACTTAATAAAATATCGCTAACGCCAATAACGTTGTGTCTTGGTTTCCGCCGCATGCGCATTCATCACCGCGGTTATCAAGAAGAAGAGGCCCACGACGCCAACGGCAACACCGCCAAGGAACAGTTTGATTCCATATGACTGAAGCTGCTCCTCGCACTGCACGCGATGCCAGGCGCTGATACCGCATCCGCACTGCTCGCACGCCGGCTCCGCCTCCACCGTATCCACACGCGCCACGTGTGGTAGTCGTCGCCCAGCGGATGCCGGATATTATACGGTTGCAATGTACGCGCCTCTTTCAGCCCGTTGAGCGATTGACAGAATAAGCCGGTCCGGTCCGGTCCGTAGTCTGGATAGAAGGCGTTTTCCAGTTCCTTCGAAGTATGATGGCTCTGGATGCGGACGCGCGCTGGACGCCCCGGTGCCGTGAGGTAATTGTAGGCGGCGCCGGCAGCACGGATGGTCTCGGGACTGCCGTCGTTTTTGTACTGCAGCTCCATGAGGACGATGTGCGGCACCATGAAAACGACGGACGCCGGCAGGTTGCCGTGCAGCTCTCCGGCAATATCACGGAAGAGCTCAAGGCCCTCGGCTTTCATCAACACGTTCGAGTCGTATACGGGCGTCAGCACATTTGGTCCCGCCATCACCACGTTGCTATTATCAGAACGTTAATAATTGCCGTAGAGAGCGCTCCTGTTCACGATACCGGCGTCGCCACGTCAGTTTGTGTTGGATACTAGTTCATTTTTAAAAGTATTAGGAATAGTAAGTAGTAAATACTAGGAATACTATAATACAACGGATGTTACGGATTTATTTTATTGTACGGGTATAAGCAGAAAACATGTGAAATGAACAGCTGATCGTCTGCAGAAATTCCAAGACGCGTTTTAATTTGACACCAACGACGCAGCGGCATATTTATATATATAAGAATATATCTGCATTGCCAGCGGCTTTGCACAGCACAATATTAAGCAGGTAGCGCGCGTCACGATTCTTTTCACGTGCAGTAGCCAACAAGAACGCTGCAGGCAGCCGGAAGTATCAGAATTGAGTACCGGAAGTAGTAGTTAATGTAGCCGTTGCAACTTGTTGTTAATTCGCATCAGAGCAGGTTGCCCAATATTCCGGCTAAGGTGACAGTCTAGCATGGAATTTTATAAACCTGGCTGGAGAAACATTTAAACAAGTATCATGATATTGTTACCTTACGGGAAAAATGAGGAAATTCTAATAGAGTACCGTCGCACAGCAATGTGGCAGGTGGCTAACGTGGCTAAAGGACTTACATTGTTAGCTACAGATATAGTACTTAAAGTGGTCTGTTGTGCATTCGTCCAGTGCTGCTGAATACTTATCCCTCCGGCCACCGGGCACAAAGAACGACGTACAAAACACAGGTAAAAGTTGAGAGTCGGTCTGGCTCTGGTTGAGTACTGCCGGCTACTCCATTCCCTGCTCTTCAAAACGATAATATTTTTTTGTACAAGGCTAGCTTCGCTCAACAAAAATATGATCAAATAAAGAATTTGTCACAATTATTACATGAGAAGGGACTGTGCACAATACACTCATAGCATTACCTCGCATTTTTTTTGTTAATTGTACACTGGTCGTACACGTTGACGTTCTGCCTGCGGATGCGGCTTTTTCCTTATTAGGGAAACTCGTGCATCTCGAGAGTCCAGAGTACACCTACGCCCGGTGGGCTGGCCCGTCGGCAGCCCGCAGCCGTATCGGAAGTGATCCCGGACGCAGACCAAAGGGCGACGGGTTGGCCGAGAATAATGCTCAAGACACAATAATTTAGCACGTGGAATTCTCTATGCAGTGTTTGAAACAGCGAATAATTATTACGTAAGGCAGCTTGTGTGCATGACTCAGAAGGAAAGCAGGAGCCGCTTCGCATTGTCCCCTATTTGTCAATTTGGCTATCAACTTGTCAATATGTCACTTTAAATATCTTTTTGTCCCCCATTTGTCAATTTGGCAATTAATTTGTCAGTTTTTCACTTCAAATATCATTTTGTCAAATATTTGTCAATTTGGCTATCAACTTGAAAATTTGTCACTTCAAATATCACTTTTGGCATCTATTTGTCAATTTGGCTATCAACATGTCAATTTGTCACATCAAATGTCATTTTGGCATCTATTTGTCAGTTTGTCAACCCCTAAATTTGTCACTTTAAATATATTTTTGTCCTCTGTTTGTCAATTTGGCTATCATTTTGTTAATTTGTTACTTCAAATATCATTTTGTCACCTATTTGTCAATTTGGCAATCAACTTGTCAATTTGGCATCTAGCCTGTAATGTTTGCACATTAAATATCATTTTGTAACTTGACATCTAACCTGTCAATTTGGCTTCTGGCATATCAGTTTGTCAAGCAACTGTAACTCTATCAAAAATTATTAATTTTAGCCCTTGTCACATGATGCAGAAGATTTTCGGAAACCTTATGAAACATCCGGATGTTTCGAAATGCAAATGCACTGACTCGGTTTTTTTGAGATTTTGAGGGTGAATCAACCGCAATTCTAAGTTTTTTCGTTTAAGCTAGAAAATTTCGTCATTCTAAAAAAACACCGAATTTCAGCACGCGTCTTGTCATTTTTTCAATCACCAAACAATTTGTCGAAAATCCGTCAATTTAGCACCTGGACTGTCAATCCAATTTAGCACCAGGACTGCACCAGGACTTAAAATATCTTTTCGTCACCTATTTGTCAATTTGGCAATTATCCTCTCAATTTGTCACTTCAAATATCTTTTCGTCACCTATTTTCGTTAATTGAGCAATCAAACTGTCAGTTTGTCACTTCAAATTTCATTTTGTCACCTGATTGTCAATTTGGCAATCATCCACTCAATTTGTCTCTTCAAAGATCTTTTCGTCACCTATTCGTCAATTTGGCAATCATCCTCTCAATTTATCACTTCAAATATCATTTAGTCACCTTTTTGTCAATTTAGCAATCATCTTCTCAATTTGTCACTTCAAATATCTTTTCGTCACTTATTTGTCAATTTGGCAATCAACCTTCCAGTTTATCACTTCAGGTACCATTTTGTCACCTATTTGTCAATTTGGCAATCAGCTTGTCAGTTTGCCACTTAAATTTATCAATTTATCTCTTGATTGTCAATTTGACAATCATCCTTCAATTTCTCCCTTCAAATAACTTTTCGTCTCCGATTTGTCAAATTGGCTATCAATTTGTCAGCTTGCCACTTCAAATTTCATTTTGTCACATATTTCTCCGTTTTGCAATTAAACTGTTAATTTGTCTCTTCACATATCTTTTCGTCACCTATTCGTCAATTTGGCAATCATCCTCTCAATTTATCACTTCAACTATCATTCGTCACCTTTTTGTCAATTTGGCAATCATACTCTCTATTTGTCTCTTCAAATATCTTTGCGTCACCTATTCGTCAATTTGGAAATCATCCTCTCAATTTGTCACTTCAAATATCTTTTCGTCACCTGTTTTCGTCAATTGAGCAATCAAACTGTCAGTTTGTCACTTCAAATTTCATTTTGTCACCTAATTGTCAATTTGGCAATCATCCTCTCAATTTGTCTCTTCAAATATCTTTTCGTCACCTATTTTTGTCAATTTGGCAACCATCTTATCAATTTGTCACGTCAAATGCCTTTACGTCACCTAGTTGTCAATTTGGCAATCATCTTCTCAATTTGTCACTTCAAATATATTTTCGTCACTTATTTGTCAATTTGGCAATCAACCTTCCAATTTATCACTTCAGATAGAATTGTGTCACCTATTTGTCAATTCGGCAATCAGCTTGTCAGTTTGCCACTTAAAATTATCAATTTGTCTCTTGATTGTCAATTTGACAATCATCTTCTCAATTTCTCCCTTCAAATATCTTTTCGTCACCGATTTGTCAAATTGGCTATCAATTTGTCAGTTTGTCACATCAAATCTCATTTTGTCACCTATTTCTCCATTTGGCAATCAAACTGTTAATTTGTCTCTTCAAATATCTTTTCGTCACCGATTTGTCAAATTGGCTATCAATTTGTCAGTTTGTCACTTCAAATATCTTTTCGTCACCTATTTGTCAATTTGGCAATCATCCTCTCAATTTATCACTTCAAATATCATTTCGTCACCTTTTTGTCAATTTGGCAATTATCCTCTCTATTTGTCTCTTCAAATATCTTTTCGTCACCTATTCGTCAATTTGGCAATCATCCTATCAATTTGTCACGTCAAATGCCTTCACGTCACCTGTTTGTCAATTTGGCAAACATCTTCTCAATTTGTCACTTCAAATATCTTTTCGTCACCTACTTGTCAATTTGGCAATCATCTTCTCAATTTGTCACTTCAAATATCTTTTCGTCACCGATTTGTCAATTTGGCAATCATCTTCTAAATTTGTCACTTTTAATTTCTTTTCGTCACCTATTTGTCAATTTGGCAGTCAACTCGTCAATTCGGCATCTAGCCTGTCAATGTTGCACATTTAGTATCATTTTGTTAATCTGACATTAAACCTGTCAGTTTAGCATCCAACACGCCAGTTTGTCAAGCGGTTTTAATTCTATCTAAAATTGATATGTTCGAAACCCTGTCTCTTGATGCAGAAGATTTTGAGAAACCTTGTGAAACATCCGGATTTGTCTCTTGTCAATTCACTGTCAATTTGTCACTTTAAATACCCTTTTGTCACCTACGTGTCAATTTGTCAATCATCGTCTCATTTTGTCACTTCAAATATCTTTTCGTCACCTATTTGTCAATTTGGCAATCATCCTCTTAATTTGTCACTTTTGATATCATTTTGTCACCTACTTGTCGATTTGGCAACCAGCTTGTCAGTTTGTCACTTAAAATTATCAATTTGTCTCTTGAATGTCAGTTAGGCAATCAACCTTTCTATTTCTCCCTTCAAATATCTTTTCGTCACTGTTTGTCAAATTGGCTATCAACTTGTCAATTGGTCATTTCAAATTATTTTGTCCCCTATTTGTGAATTTGGCAATCAAACTGTCAATTTGCCAGTTCAAATTTCATTTTGTCACCTGTTTGTCAATTTGGCAATCATCCTCTCAATTTGTCTCTCCAAATATCTTTTCGTCACCTATTCGTCAATTTGGCAATCATCCTCTCAATTTGTCACTTAAAATATCTTTTCGTCACCTATTTGTCAATTTGGCAATCATTCTCTCAATTTTTATTTTTAAATATCTTTTCGTCACCTATTTGTCAATTTGGCAATCAATCAATTTGTCAATTCGGCATCTAGCCTGTCAGTGTGGCACATTTAGTATCATTTTGTTGATCTGACATCAAACCTATCAGTTTAGCATCCAGCACGCCAGTTTGTCAAGCGATTTGAATTCTATCTAAAATTAATATGTTCGAAACCCTGTCTCTTGATGCAGAAGATTTTGAGAAACCTTATGAAACATCCGGATTTGTCTCTTGTCACTTCACTATCAATTTGTTACTTCAAATACCTTTTCGTCACCTACTTGTCAATTCGGCAATCATCCTCTCAATTTGTCTCTCCAAATATCTTTTCGTCACCTATTTGTCAATTCGGCAATCATCCTCTTAATTTGTCACTTTAGATATCATTTTGTCACCTATTTGTCGATTTGGCAATCGGCCTGTTCGTTTTTTGTCACTTAAAATTATCAATTTGTCTCTTGATTGTCAGTTAGGCAATCAACCTTTCAATTTCTCCCTTCAAATATCTTTTCGTCACTATTTGTCAAATTGGCTATCAACTTGTCACATTGTCATTTCAAATTTCATTTTGTTCCTATTTGTGAATTTGGCAATCAACCTGTCAAATTGTCACTTCAAATTTCGTTTTGTCACCTTTTTG